TGAACTCTGATGTTAATTCGATTTTCATTTGTTTATGGTCAATTTTCCGCGCTTGCTTTACTCCTAGATATTTATACATGTCATTTTCGCCCATAGCCTCGATGTTTTGGCCATTTTGCATATCGAATCTCCCGGGCTGAACCTTTCCTTTGACTATATTTAATACACGACATTTGTTTAACCCAAAGTGCATACTGATATGATTTGAAAAAGTTTCTACAGTTTTTAGCATTTGATCTAAGTGATTTCGAGTGGAAGCCATTGGTTTCAAATCATCCATATACAACAGATGATTAAGCTTCGCCACTACAGTGTTGTTGTTTTTAATGCTAAAACCTGAGTCAGTGGAGTTTAATAGCTGGGATAGTGGGTTCATCGCTAGACAGAACCACAATGGAGTCAGCGAGTCTCCTTGGAATAGGCCGCGGTTAATTGCGATATTTTCCGTTTCGATATTGTTTTCACCAGGTATTTGGAGGTGAATTTTAGTCTTCCAATCTGTCATTATATGTCTTAAGAAGGTCACTATATTATCACCGACTTTATATATTCTTAATATATCTACCACCCATTCATGCGGCACTGAGTCAAAGGCTTTCTTATAATCAACAAAATCAGTGAAGAGGTTCCTTTTTTGGTGTATGCCTGGTTAGAAATGACGGAGTCGATAATAAGTTGTTCTTTGCAACCCATGGAACCCTTAGCGCATCCTTTCTGTTGAGGTTCTATGATATTGTTTAGAGCGCAGTGTTGATACGCTGGGCTACACAAGATGTGACCAATTTATACAGAGTTGGAAGACACGTAATTGCGCGGTACTTGGCTGGATCTTGGGTATTATTTTGATCCTTCGGTATTAAATAAGTTGTTCCCTGAGTTAGAAATTATGGTATTTCCTGCGGATTAGGAATAACACGATTAATTAGTGTTGACAAGTACTCATGAATACTCCAGAACTTCTTAAGCTAGAAGTTTTGAACACCGTCTATTCCAGGAGATTTCCAGTAATGAAGCTCTTAGATAATATTAGAGACTTCTTCTGTGGTGAAGGGTTCATAGGCAGTTGTGCGGTAGTGTTTACAGCTGTTCGTCGTATCTTCTAACCATCCAGCATTGGTGTTAAGAGCAACTGGTGTGGAAAGTTGATTTCCCCAAAACTCCTGAATTTCTTCTTGGCTTGGGTATGATTTATTGCTCAAAAAGCGCATTGTCACATTTCCGGCTGTTACTAACCTTGTACCTCCTTAGTCGTCCTGAATAAACGGAGAGTTTTTGTTTTCATGTATCCAGGCACTGTTGGGCTGTGATGATTTCTGGATCATATTGCGAGTGTCTTGCAGTGCTTAGCATTATTTGATCAGCTCTTTTAATGATTTTTCTACTTGGTATTTCTCGTATATATTCTGCCATTTGACCAATATCCCTACGCAATAATTTAATCTTGTTTAGAAGCCGTTTCTCCCAGGGTGCAACTCTGTTATCTGTCCTTCTGGTATTGGTACCCCGTCGTGTTCTGATCTTAATTCTTATTATATTAGCTGTTGCTGTTGCTGCACAGTAAATAAGCATGTGCAAATATTCCAGCGTATGGGCTTCTACGACGTAATTGGGTAGGACTTCAGTATTTATAATTTGTAACAGAGCACCTAGTTTTTTAGAAGAGTTTATTTTTGGTAGCGGTAGTCTGCTAAGTGGATTTGTTCCATTAAACTCTTGTACAGTCCGTGCCATTTCGCTTACTAGAGTATCACGTAATTCGTTGTTGTTCTGTAGTGTATTATCAGGTTGAGTTTCTTACTGTATCTCTGAGATAAGATTGTTTCTTATAATTACCCGGTATTGATCAGCAACTCGTTGTTCAGTTACTTGAATTTCTGGATACTCCCTGCAAAATTCGGAATAGAGATTTTGTCGATACTCGATCGTTTCTTGACTAAGGTTTGTCACCTGGTAATAGAAGCGCAAAATATTTTTAATTTATGGACGCAGTCCATTTCATGTGCTGCCTCGGTCGTCCGCTTGAGTGAGCGCCGGCTGATGTTCCAGCGCAGCACCTTCAGCGAGTGGAGCTCTTGTTGTTGTTTGGCTCATTTGTGGTTCTTCTTGTTCTTTGAAAAATAAGGCACATAATCGAGCACAAGTTTAATTAAATCTTGCCCAAGATTTGATGCAAGTTAATTACTGTTTATAACTGGGAATAAGCCACAATTAAAGATAAAAAATACGTTTATTGACGTTTCAATTTCCAATTCGGAAATCGTTCTCAAAATACAAAATCGTTTGTATTTTGAGAACGATTTCCGAATTGGAAATTGAAACGTCAATAAACGTATTTTTTATCTTTAATTGTGGCTTATTCCCAGTTATAAATAGTAATTAATTTACAATGCCACAAGAAAATAGCTTCAGAACAATATTTGATGCAAGATTGCAATTAAATGTTGCTTGGGCACGATTTAATTAAACTTGTGCTCGATAATAGCCTTATTTTTCAAAGTTCATTTACTCGAGCATTCAACCTTATATCAATCAGTTTTTCTTGTTGTTGGGCTGTAGCTGATTGTATGACAGGGGCCCGCCTCCTTAACACCCTGCCACCGACGTCCCGCATGCTGTCACGTTCAGCGACGGCTCCAGACGTGTCCTGGTGATCCCAGGCAGCGACCCTAAACATAAATTATTAAACTCCATTTTCATGGGTTTGCATTTTATACCTACTGCCAAGTGTCAATTTTTGTTCCACGGCAAGTATCCCTGCTACCCTCTGGGTATCGGTGCTAAGAATACCCAGAAAGCGTCCCCTATTCGCAGAGGGCCGCACCTTATTATTATTATTATTTTTGTATAAATTATAGTTACACTTTTATTTTATTTTTTGAGATTTTACAGACGTTTTTAATGTTTTTAATAGTTAATTTTAATCTAAATGTGGAAAATTAATATATTATTAATAATATATTAAATTAATATTACGATTTTTGCGAGACTGTATTTCGGTAATAGTCTACCTTATTACGGCATACTTCCATCCTTCTTATCATGTTACTTCCACCAGCACTTTGTAAAGAATGATAGAAAAAGACATTTAAAGTTGTGTGTTTTGTGCGAAGTTCGTTTTAATTATACTTATCGTTAATTTTCTACTGTATTGGAAACGTAAGCTTAATGTTTATGGACGAAGTAGAATTTCAACGAACCTGATCTTTTTAACTTTTAAACTTAAAATACTTTTTATAGTAGAGAATTATCTTTCCGATATCCCCACTAGTTATGCAACCAAGTTTACTTGAAGAAAAATGTTCTCATTAATTTGTTGACACTATTTTGCTTAGCATCGCGAAAGGTAGGGTTATGATCAATAAAGGAAATACATGTACAGTTGCGGTCACGGAATAGTTTACACCTTACTTTTTATATTGTAATACTGTAAAATTGCAGTGTCGTACGGATTTGATAAATGTCAAAGTCAAAAAATTTCAAAACGTCAATGCTTTCGCGAGTGTTCAACAATAAAATAAAAGTAAATTAAACTCTTCCAAAATGGTTAGAATACATTTGAATTATGCGCAAAAAGCAAGAGCAATTGCCAAACTCGAAGAAGGTTGGTCACTAAGGCAAGTTGCTGCTGATTTGAACGTGAGTCATATGTGCATATGGAAGATTAAACAAAGATGGGATAATTTTCACTCTATAGCACGGTTGGGCGGTTCAGGAGGGCAGAAGATTTCCACAGATCAACAGGATGAGATGTTAGTAGATTATTTGAGAGAATCTCCTTTTGCCACAGCTCAAAAGGCAAGAGAAGAGGCAGCGTTTCCAGGCAGTATTCGCACTGCACGTCGAAGAATTAAAGCAAGTGGACTGCTAAATTGTGTAGCTGCACGGAAACCTTTTTTGACTGAGGATCACAAGAGGAGACGAGTTGAATTTTGTAATGAATTTATAAACCGCGATGAGAATTTTTGGTCTAGGGTTGTATTTTCCGATGAAAAAGTATTTCAGTCGTATAATAATGGTCGAATAAGAGTTTATAGGCCGAGAAATCATAGGTATGATGAACAGTATACGCATCATTTAAGAAATAGTGGAGGATTCTCTGTCAACGTATGGGGATGGATAAGTGCCGAAGGCCCGGGCGTTTGTTATCATGTAGAGGAGAAGTTAACAGGATTATATTACAAACATATTATTGAGCACACAATGTTGCCATCGGTGATCCAGAGATTCCCCAACAACGACTTTATCTTCCAACATGACAATTGCCCGGTGCATACGAGTAGAATTGTTCGAGAATGGCTAGAAGAAACTGATGTTAATGTTCTTCCGTGGCCTTCCCGTAGTGCAGACTTTAACCCCGTCGAAAATGTGTGGGCAGAGTTAACAAAGAAACTAAATGAAAGAAACCTTAGACCACGGAATAGAATTGAATTATGGGAAGCAATTGAGCAGGCATGGGAAGAGCTTGTTAACTATAACATGAGGGGATTGGTGCTATCTATGAACAGAAGACTGCAAAATTGTATTGACAAGAATGGGGCTTCCACCAAATATTAATTATTATTTATCATTGTTTATCGTTATTTAATATAAAATAGATTTAAAATAAAATGCATATTAAAAAAAAAGACTTCTTTATTTTCGTTATTAAGATCATAATCCATTTTATTCAAAAAACTGTTTTCTATATTTTTCATTTTGTAAAATATTTTGATATTTTAATTTTAATCTACCTATTCTAGCTAGTACACCACTGGCAACGTCACTTTGACGTAAAAGGTGCGTTTAAACGAAGTAAAAATTTAAAAAATGGGCTCCTAGATACGTGAACCTGTAAACTATTCCGTGACCGCAACTGTACATAAACAAAATTAGTATAGAGATTAATTAATTATTCTGAACAAATAATTTATTTATCCAATTTATTTATTTATTAAATTTTACCGTTTATCCAAGCGTAAAAGCTGTAGTAAAAGGTACCAATTTTTATTAATGGAATGAAGCAACTATTTTGTATATTTTTTAGTTTGTATTTGTTTATTTTTTATATTATTTCATTGATGTTTTTAAATTGCCGCTAGTAATTTCACACATGCGTATTTAAATCACCTCCTACCCTAAATACCGGACATTACAGATTGCAGCAAACGACAGTGGCATCATCATCAAGGAGAGTAGTGTAAGAAAAGGACTTTCCATTTATTTGATTTCGTGAAAATTAGTGTAAAAAATTGTGAAAAAGTGATTAGTGTGGAGACTTTATGGAATGGAAAACTCAAACTCGGAAGGCGTCGTCCTACCGGACATTTCCGAAGCCGAACATCTTGCGAGTGAGCACGATGGCGGCGATAATGGCGATTCTGTTGTCGACTCAAAGAAATCACTCGTGTCGACTGTTTCCGTAAGACATGCTGGTGTTCCAGTTACCCTTCCCGTGGGATCCCTTATCACTAGCACATTTAATGTTATTACCCAGGACCAAATCCCTCATTTTAAGCCTATGATATGCGTGGATAACAGCGGATATTTAGCTGCTGATGGCTCTACTGGGGAACTTAAAACTATTGTTATTCAACAGGAAGATGTTTCAGGGGGTTCATCCGTAAATACTCCCGTGTCTTCCGCTTCAGTTGGAAGTTGGAATGATGCCGCTAATGCTGCTGTTTTACCAGTACGGTGTAAAAATACTTCTGCTGAACTTCACAAATGCAGATTCGGATCAGGAGGTAGGGGGCGTTGCATAAAACTTGGTAATTCCTGGTATACCCCAAGTGAATTTGAAGCCCTTTGCGGGAGAGCTTCGAGTAAGGACTGGAAAAGAAGTATTAGATTTGGAGGAAGAAGTTTACAAACTTTAATTGACGAAGGTAATCATTAAAAGCTTATTGATAACATTGTCATTTATCAGCTGATGTTTTGACGTTCACTGTCACTATTTGGCTCCTAAACATCAACTTTTAAGGCATAATAGACACATGTTAAAAATGCATTCTAATTTTTAGTGTTAGATTTTATATCGTATATTGCTATTACTCATTTAGTTTATATTAGTAGTATTGATTTTATTCTGGAATTTATAGTCTTTTGTGTGTTCCCTTAGAGACTGGTACATATACCTGTTGCTTTTCTTCTGCAGAAGATGCAATTTAAGCTTTGAATAGGTTATAAACATGATGTTTTGGAAAAACAATACTGTGATACTTAATAGAACAGTAAACTGAAACATTGTCTCAATAAGATTGTTAGGAATGGTGATCATTGTATTATCAACAACTTCTCCATATTTCTGAGGTTAAAATGTTCACCTAGAATGCTGCTTCTAATATAAATTAGGAATGAAAACAACTTAAGGACATATATGTGAGGAAATGTTCAAATCTAACATCAGTATAAGTTTTTAGTCTTTATATAAATATCCTTCCATTCTCTTACAGTACATTAGAGACAATGACCACAAAGATTGAGTATTTTGCAATAGGATTGGATTCAGGTTTGTGTTTTAAGTTTCTCTTTTTGTTTTAATCCTTAGGGGTAAAATGTGTGGTTTCTGATAGATACTTTGTAGAAAAACAAATAAAAAAGATGCAATGCACATAGTATAATACTTTTTATTAAAATATATCAATCTTGGATCGAATATTAAAGCAAACCTGAAATATGATACTTTGATCTACTTGTTTGTGTGTAGAATGTAGAGAAAAATATTCTTTAACATCCATATATTCTAGGTATAATTCTTCCTCATGCAACAAGTTGTACATGTGCAGCGTGTTGTGATGATGAAACAGCCACAGGCCCCGTTAGACTCTTTACCCCTTACAAGAGAAAGCGGAGAAAAGAAAATGACTCAATCAAAAGATCTAATGGGGAGGACAGTGACCATCAGTGCAAAGAAGAAGCATGGCAGAATTTAGCAGAAGGGCTCGATTCAAATGATTACCAATTAATAGAACCAGTAGGAAATATTGACCCTCAAATGCAGATTAAAAGGCTGGAAGAAATTGCGCTCCAGGTAATGTACTTTTAAATTTTAGGTTCTTTTACAATAGGAGGCAATCATTTATAGCCTATACGAAAATGTTTACTAGATAATAACACATACAATTTGACAAAATGTTGTTTCTGTGGTTATTTGATATGTTTCAAGTTTGTCCGTAACTTAATAATATCTTTTGAGACTCAATTGAGCTTCTATAAATTACATTGTCTGTTACCTAAAAAATCCCTGTAGTTCTATAAAAGATCTTTGTTTTGTAGATAAATAGGTTGGCATTGGAGTTCCGAAGAGGAATAGAAGACTTGAAAGATACAATGAACAGGCAGAGTGAGAAATACCAGAGAGAAAAAGAAGCTGGCGAAGCTGCTATATTGGCCGCAAGAGTGGAAGCTCAAGTAGCTGCTATGCAACCTGAGGGCACATCTGATACCACATTACAACCTTCAATGGATAATGAAAATCATAAGAAGGTAAGTTTTTTTAACAGTAGTGTTTTTGTTGTTCTTTTGCCATTTCATCCACACTATACTTCTTCAATTTTGGTAAATATTGTTTGGATAGCTGCAATAACTCTTTTTGAGTAAAGCTTCTGTTTCTGTAAAAGTTTTCCACAATATTTATCTCTTTTAATGTTTGGCAAAGATTCTTCTTCTTCTTTGGGTGCCGTGTCCGTATTCAGACGTTGGCCGTCATCATGCTTACAATTTCCTGAAACCTTTCTCTGTCGGCTGCTGCGCGAAATAATTCTTGTACTGTGAAACCACACCATTGTCTAATATTACGCAGCCATGAAAGCAAAGATTAGTCTTCATTAATGTCTACTAAAAGTTTATCTAAGGTAGGAATCTTTTTTTGTAAGTAGTAGTAGGCTCTATTCTGTTTTCTTTGTCACATTTTGTATTTGTTCCCCCCCCCCCCAATTCAAGAGTTCTGGTCAATATGCAGACCAAAAAATTTAAATGATCTAGTAGATTCTCTGTTTTGTGTTAGAAAATTGACTAATCTGAGTATTGTTCACATTAACAGCTCACTTTAAAAAAATATATAGAATAGTATGTATATCACACTCATCACTATTATCATTTAATAATAAAGTGGCACAATTCAAAAAATATGTTTTTGTAGAAAACTCAAAAACATTTTGATAGTTACGTCTGACCTATGTAGAGGTAATATGAGTAAAAATCACACAGGGGTGTCCGATTTCAATGGTAGTTAGCATTAAATCAATAGAGGGTACTATCTCTGGTCATTTTATAACTAAAAATCAAAATTTAATTAAGAATTTGGAGTTGTGCCACTCAAAATGACAATGTATCCCATTGCATGTGTACTTATAATGATGGATAGATAGATAGAATTTATTCATCCACAAAGTTTACACAATTCTTACAAAAAAAAAAATTAAAGTTTAAAGCACTTTCCACGTCTTGTCTATTAGGACCTTCTTGCATAGATTCACAGCGATTGTCTTCTCCATCTTCATCATGCGCTCCGCAGGTGGGTTTTTTACTTCTGTGTCAATGGCACTGAATTCAACAAACTTGTCATCATTGTTCAGTTGGGTTAGTTCTTGACCTTGTTGTTGTAACCTCATCCTTTCTGCTACAGGATATTCATCTTCTTGTGAAGTAACATTGTCTGATGGTTTTTTGATCTACGAGAGTCCATGGTAGTGGTAACGCTGAACAGATTTTTATATTACAAAAAAGAGCAATCAGAACTCTACTTAACTTGAGATACAGAGATTCATGTAGAGGTAATTTCAAAAAGCTAAACATACTAACAATGGCTGGAACATACATATATGAATGCTTACTTTTCATTTCTAAAAATAGACATAAATTCTTGAAACACATAACAAACCATAATACTAATACACGAAACAATCTCATAAACTATAATATACCAATACATAGACTAACAGCATCTGAGAAAACCACAGAATATGCCTGTATTAAATTCTTTAATAAACTGCCTTACAGCATCAAAATAGAAACTGACGTAAATAAATATAGAAAGTCTGTTCAACAATTGCTCATACACCTTGAACCATACAAAGTGGAAGAATTCCTTCAAGCTGACCTGTAGGCAGACTAAGGGCTCTTACCTGAATCTAAATGTCACTGTTATTATCATTATGTTTTAATATTACTTTTATGTTAAGTGTAGGTTGTTACAGCAACCATTATAAATTGTAACTGACACCATTCTCTCTATTGACAATTTTATTTGTATGTAGCTTGTGAATCGTGAGAATAAAACTTTTTTCTATTCTATTCTATTCTATTCCATGCTTTGTGGACGAAATTTATGGCATCAAATAAAGTAATAGGGGGATTTACTATGGTTTTCCACATTATTCAGGATCCGCTTAACTAAAAGTTTTCTGTAGTGAACTTTAAGGGACCTTATGATACTCTGATCCAGCAGTTTTCAGAACAGATGTGCAATGTGATGGGTAACAAAAGAAATTGAATGTTTTTTAAACCGTTAACTTTTGGGTGAGCTGGATTCTTCTTCTTAATATGCCATATACCAAAGTGCGTAGGCGACTATCCCATTACTAGAATTCTGTTCTTGGCGGCGTGACACAGCTCACCTGTATTGTGTATTCCTGTCCATTCTTTACTATTCCTTAACCAGGACAATTGTTTGCGGCCGGCTCCTCTCCTACCTTCGATCTTCCCTTGTAGGATTAACTGTGGTATTTCATATATTGTGAGCTGTATAATTGTCAACAATTAAAAGAATCTTTTGATGTCCCAACTCTCAGTCTCACTTCAAAAGTTCTCCAGTAAAAATCTCTGCTGTAATCCACAATTTTTTATTAAATTTATATGTGATAGGAACTTGATTTACACCTTTGAAACATAGTTCTTGAGATTTCCCAATAAGATACTTCCTTTTTTTTGGAACCAGACATGTTGGCACACGCGAGTACAGTTACCCTTTCTTTTGATAGCTTGCTATTTGCTAGAATGTTCATTTTTGAATTTGAGGGTCTTATCTTGGAGTAAGTTTAAAAAAAGTCTCAGCTCGTCGGCATTGAAAACATTATCGACACTGTAATTTTGTCTTATTGTAGGCCATAACTTCAACAAGTTGTCAGTGACTTCTTTGGAAACACTCTTTGATTCACCCCAAATTTTTCCACATATAATTTCGTGCCTGGCCTTAAAACGGCTCATCTACCCACTCGATGCTTTAAAATTCTCCTAGCACCTGTGAAAACTATGTTGCTTTTTCTTGAGGCAGTGGTCCACTTATTGGAACATTTACAGTAATCATTTGACCATTGCAGTATCGAGTTCTTTATTGTGTTTCTTTTTGAGCATGGTAGATAGAGTGGAACTTCTTCTTTCACGACAAACTTTTGCTTTCTTCTCACAATTCTCAACATCTTTAAGGATGTTAATTTTTTTTTCAAAAGTAAATGCTTTCTTTTAGAAGTTAGTCTGTAATCTATCTGACTATGTAATTTACAACACAACTTTCAAGACGTGGAGCACAATCAGGAAACAAACTATAAACATCTACGACATAAACAACTGGGAAATTCTGGTGAAACTTGTTTCATTTATCATGTTAAGCTTCTTTACTTAGTTTATTAGGTGCGAATGGTCAAACCCCTAAACTGACACTTGTGAATCATAACTAATCAAAAACGTAAAAAAAACATGTTTTTCGATCTTATTTTCTCTCTTTATAACCAAATTTGCCTATAGGGGTTATAGTTCAATAGACATTTCACCGGACATCTAATGTACCTCGTTATAAGCGAAACCTCGTAATAACCGTGTTCGTTATAGAAGGAGTATAACATAGAATCTGCACAACTGGTAATATATGGAAACTAAACTTAGGTTTTTTTTTTATAATTTTAGTGTGCCAATTGCAACAGAGAAGCCCTAGCAGAATGTTCATTATGTAGACGAACACCTTATTGTTCCACATTTTGTCAAAGGAAAGATTGGGCATCACATCAGGTGGAATGTGTAAGGGGAGTCGCTGCAGCGACAGGGGAAGCACAGCAGTCAATCATGCTTATTGTTGAAAGCACTGACCAACAGTGATAAATTGTACAATTTGATGTATATCTACATGTTTTCTGGTACCAAATGTTGTGTAAATGTTGTATATAAAAGTTTTTCTTTAAGACTAATGGGTACACTTTATTTAAAGAAATTTTTTGTCTACATTTTTTTATAAATTAGAGTTTGGTTTATAATATGGTTGAAGAAATATCTTTATATTGTGTAGATGTCACGATTCTAAAAAAACGACTTTTAAAGAAAAGTGTAAGTTAACGAATCTCTGAACAAAAAATGTTTTTGAATTAAAGGAATATTATAAACAGCTGTAGAGTTTTTAGCAATTTTACTTTCTTGAAAGTATATACCAGTGAGCACAGCCTATTCTCTTTTTGCAAATATTTTTGTAGAAATGCTTTTTATTTTTATTAAATTATTTAAATATTTATATCTTAATCATTCTGTGTATTACTGATGACTTTCTCGTGTCTTCCATTCATTGTATACTTTATATTATGTTTATATGTTACATTCATTGCATACTTTATATGTGTTCTCAAGTTCTGAGCATTCTTTTGACTGAATTTTTTCTCGACTTTCCTCAAGGCCAAATTATAACCAAAAATTATAAATTTAGTATAATTATGTACCCTATAGTCAAGCTATAGTGAACTTTATGCCTTTTGTCATAACTTTGACCTCTAACACAGTTTATGTGTTCAAAATATTTGCACCTCAGTGAAGACAGCATTCACTGTATTGTAACTTTTGTATTTGTTAACAAATAATTAATTGTAGATAATTAATGGTGATCTTCATTTTTGGAATAAGAACACAGAATTTCGAAATTTGTAAGTAAATTATTTACAAACGTTTTGCCACTGTGATAAATTTATATACAAAATTGTAAAGTCACACAACTTTATTTGTTAACTTAATTTTATTGAATAAATATTAATAAAAGATATTTTTGTTACTTTATTTAAGACCTTATAGTAAAAAATGATAATTGAAAAATGGATAGATCACTTGAATTACACAAAGCAAAACAAAACATTTGAAGAGCTTTACTAGTACTTGAATTACAGTAGGCACCAGTTGCAAAGAGCCAGCACAAATCCTAATTTTCGTTCAGAACTCCTCGTATTAATATTTATCCACGTTGTCAGCGCAGCGGTAAATTAAAAAAATTGTGTACATTTACAAATTTATTGGTAAATTGGCAAGTATCTAAAACTAACCTCAAAATGCAAGCCAAATGTTTTAAGTGTTCTGAAAACTGCATTTTTAAAGAGCCTAGGAACTCTGATGAAGTGTTTGGTTAGCCATGTGATTTTTGCAAGAGGGTGATGTACAGGAGCTGTGCTGGAATAAGTTCAACGAAAATAAGATGTTTATTGTTAGCTATCAGAATCAGGCCTTACTTGAGTAAGGATTGTGTAGCTGGGATTATGAACGCCCTAAACCTAAACAATCGTGTCAGTGCGCTTGAAAACACTTTGTGAAGTGAAAATTACCAGCACCCAGAATATTATTGAATTAGGGGACGAAATTGGTAAGATAAGTGTGTAGATGAAAAGTTTTGAAACACTCCATGATGATCTAAAAAAAGATCTTAGGGTTATCAAAGAATCTACCACTGGCAACAAATCAGTAAGTAGTGCTAGAAAAATGCATTCAAAATTGGGCATATGTCAAGGGTACAGATGCAGTTTTTGGGGAGATACAGGACAGGACCCGGAGAGCCAAAAATATTAAATATAATGTGCCTGAAAAATATACCAGTGAATCTAACATCTGTGCTGAACACAATAGCAATGAGGTCCAAGGAATTCTCAATAAAATAGTTGTAACGAACAGCACCTTTACAGCTTTTCGTGTTGGTCGGCTAACAGATAAACCAAGACCTCTTAAAGTCTCATTTAATGATTCAGTAATAGGTATCGCATGTTTAAAACAACGTAGATCTTTACTGGGTTCTAATTTACGCATTGGAGCTGATCTTACCCCTTTACAGGGTGAGAAAGTGAAGGCCGTTTATCAGGAGTTAGAATTCAGAAAAACACAGGGTGAGAATGACTTTAATGGGGTACCCAAAATCATTGTCAGTAAATCCAATAATTCAAAAGATGATCATTGAGCTTATATTGTCAGAATGTTTGCGGTATATGCACTAAACTTCAAACATGCTGTGAGTCTCTCTAGTTAGGATTTTATTGCGATTGAGTGACTTTATTGTGTATAGACATAACAAGGACACTCAAACTATTTCAAAGGCTCGTGATGGTGATGTTCTTATTGCTGTTCATAAGCGCCTTTATTCAATGTGGGTTAGGCCTATCGATTCCTCTGTCAAACATGTTTTTACACTGGTAATGTGTGGCAGAAAAAAGTTAGTCATTGGTGCAGTGTACTTTTCTCCACGGTTATCTGGGTCAGTATATGAGGAGGATTCCACCTGTATATTGGACTCTCCTTCCGGCTCGAGGAGATAAGAATACGGCCGGGCCAGAAGACCCTGCCTGTCGTAAGAGGCGACTAATGGGCGGATATGAGAGGTGGAGGGCCGTCGTTTGAGGTGTCGAGTTGGTAGAAACGCACAGAGATGCTTAGTCATCTCAGTCACCGGTCTACATTCCTAGTATCCGAGACGAGCGCCTCGTGGGACCACTCTACTCTCATTTTCCACAAGAGCCGGGTGTGGTTGAACGAACCGGGTACGTATGCACCTCCGAAGCTGACACCGCTGAAGGGGGAGCGGGAGACTCGGCACGTACCACACCTTGGAATGATTAACGAGTGGTAGAGGAGCGATTCCTCGGCGGCGACCTGTCTACGTGCGAGGTGGTATTCCACCACCTGCGTGCCTTTCCGCCTCCGGGGAGGGGACTCACGGAAGGGTGGCGTGACCCGCAACACAGGTACTACGGGGGAGGTGGAGCCCCACGATGTTTCGGCATCGTGCCACCTCCATTTGGTGTCGGACTCGTAGGGGCAGTGGCGTGCGCTAACGGTTGTATGCCGAAAGGCCAGGTAAACCAGGGTCCTGGTTTACCTGGCCTTTCGGCATACAAACCTGTGTTCACTGATTGTTCACAATCACTAAACTCCGGCCCTGGATTTAGTGATTGTGAATTCTGTATTTGTGGTGACTACAACCTGTCTGAGGCATCCTGGGATAATCTTAATAATGGTGTTACAGTTGAGTGTCCGCATCACTCTCCAGCAAATATTATTTGTACTTGCTACAATTTTTAATATATGTCACAAGTAAATGCTTTGCCTAACCTCAATAATAAATTTTTAGATTTTGCTTGTCAGCGGTTACGATGTTAAACCTTCAAAAAGACACTACTGGGATTTACTCGGAGATATGAAAAATAATCTTGTCAGCGAAGCTATGAGACGAGACCGATTTATACAAATTTTAAAGTTTATGCACTGCTCAGACAATAATGCCATTGATGTGTCTGATAAAATGTATAAACTTAGACCGTTCATGAACAAATTAAAAGACAATTTTTCGAAACAGTTTGTGCCCGTACAAAACTTGGATTTTGATGAATCCATGATTAAATATTATGGACGTCGCGGGTGCAAGCAATGTATCAGAGGAAAACCTATTCAATTGGGCTTCAAGATGTGGTGCCTGAATACGTGCGAAGGATACCTGGTAAATTTCGACATGTACCAGGGAAAGAATCCATATGCTCAATATGCTGTGCCTGAATACGAAGAGCTGTTTGGTAAAAATGCAGCTCCCTTTGCTATAATGCTGGAAACGTTACCAAATCCTGATCTGCGTTACAAATTCAATTTGGACAATTTATTTACTAGTGTCACGTTGTTCAATTTTTTGAGACTAAATCGTTATGGAGCTACTGGTACATTTAGGGAGGATAGGCTACCACACAACTGTCCCTTAGAATCAAGAAAGAATCTAAAAAAAAATAGTGATAGGGGCTCGCACGTATCAGCTCTTGATAGAACACATGGAATAATGTTTGTAAAGTGGACAGACAATAACGTGGTTACAGTTGGATCCACTAGCCATGGTGTTTCGCCTACTTCGAATGTTAGAAGATACAGTCAAGCACAAAAAAGATTCATACAAGTTCCTCGTCCTAGATTAATAGGGGAATATAATAATAACATGGGTGGTACCGATGTTATGGATGAAAACATTGCTTGTTATCGGATTGGGATTAGGTCTAAGAAATGGTGGTGGAGCATATATACATGGCTTTTAGATGCAGCTGTGAACAACTCTTGGATTTTGTACAGAAAGCATCACAATATATCTCAGTTAGAGTTTCGTAGAACTGTAGCTCAGGCTTATCTCCAAATGTACCAAAATCAGCCTAAAGGAGGTGGAAGACCGTCTATTTCAAGGTCCAGTATTTCTTTTAATAGAATTTCAGATGAACTTCGCTATGATGGGATGAACCATCTCCTAACTACCATTCCTGACAAAAAGCGGAGACGTTGTGCTGGAGAAGGTTGTGCTTCCAGTACCAGAACTATGTGCAACAAATGTGATGTTGGCATTTGTTTGGAGTGTAATGTAATATTTCATACAAACTCTCGTTAATGTCTACATAAGAGCCTAGCGTTACATATATGTAACACCATTTTTTTTTGTAGTAAAAAAGGTTTTTTTTAAAGTATTATTTTTTTCATATGTATCTACCTCTAATAAAGCCAAAAATGTAAAAAAAATCGGTATTACAAAAAAAAATTAATTCCGGTCATAATGGGTTAAGTGAAAGATGTAAATCATTACAAGCAGTATGTTATAAGAATTATTTAGAGAATATTCAAGAAATCTTTCAAGTAATCCCTGCTCTTTTTAGAGGTATGTTAGTGCTACACGTGGATCTAGTGCTTAACCTAATGTAATGTCTAATAAAGGTGGGGATGTAATAGCTCAGAATGCTGATGAAATGGTCAATATATTTGCCAGTTATTTTTCAGGTATATATAATAATAGTGAGTACCTATAATTTACCTAATTTTGAATTGGACTCTAGTGTGGATTTCCAGATTCTGAAGTTTAGTCTGACTGACGTTTTCGAGGAAATTATGAGTTTAAAAACTACATATTCTTCCTGGCCTCATGGTATGCCTGCAGCACTTATTAAGAACTGTATTTTTTCTCTTTGTAAACTTTTACAACAAATTTTCAATTTATCATTGTCATCATCTGTATTTCCACAATATTGGAAAAATAGTTTGTTGCGTTTTGCACATACGATGACCTCAATATAACAATTGAGGTCAACCTGAAGGGGGAGAGAAGATATTTTGTTCAATCTAGAACCCGCTGGTTTTCCCCCTTTCGAAATGAGTCTATATATTTAAAATAAAATAAATGAAAATCAGAGGACTGTATATTAAAATAAAAGAAATGAAAATCAGAGGACTGTATATTAAAATAAAAGAAATGAAATTGAAATATAAATATATATATAGCAAATAAAAGAAAGAAATATAGTAAATAAAATAGCAAATATACACTTACAACTAAAGAAGAATAAACAAACTTAAAATTACGCAATACGAAACGACATACCAAAATACAAGCATAAACCCACCAAAAGAAAAATGTCGATTGTAACAAAAAAAAACTACTTAATAAAAGCAGTAAAATAATTTCATATATACCACGTTATAAACAAAAATAAACATAAAAATATTGACATATAGTAGTATATATTAGGTGATAAAATGCACATTAAATTAATAATAAAACAAATGCAATTAGTAAATTCATAAAGAGACAAAAGAATAGTAAAATTAGTACAATCTAATAAGTTGTCAATTAATAATTAATTAATAAAATTATGAATGCAACTTAGTCAATAATAATTACGGATACAGTCAAATATCTGTACACAAACGTAAATATTGTCAACGAGCGACACAATGAAATATAAAGTTCAGCAAACAAATGTCAAAAGTTCAAAAACCGCGATACAATATGAGATATTTGGGCACAAAATATGTAGTTAGCCCAACCAACAACAAATTATGATGTATATACTGTGTGTATTTACCCAATGAACCAATTCCAGCCACAATGGATTGCGAACCCTCTGGTCCGGTGAAAAGTCAGGAATCCAACAAACAAATTGAGAGGTAGAATGCACAACCCTCACAGCAAACCACGTGTCGGTCGTTTCGAAGACGAAACTCAACTGTGTCCTATATGGAATGCAAAACCTTTATCTTAGGTACACACATGTGGCGATATTTGGCAGATGGCCCGCCTTGCAATCTTTAGCCCTTAAAACGGCTGTGTCACTTACACGCAAATCTGGTTTTAAATATACTACGGGGAGAATCGAAACTAACAAAAAGACTGTTCATATTTAATAAATGTTCATGTATCGTTGCGAAACTGCAACATAGTTTTCTTATACCTATCTATAAATCTGGCAATCGTGAGTGTGTTAACAATTATAGAGGTATAACTACTCAATCAACAATCCCGAAACTTCTTGATAAATTGGTATCGATAAATCTCACCTGGGCTTGCAGAAACATAATTATTGATGAATAACATGGATTTTCTAACGGGAAGTCAACAGTAACAAACCTTCTCAATTAACAACAATATTTGTTGGGTGTATTTGAGAATAAAATTCAAGTCGACAGCATTTACAATGATTTCTCAAAGGTCTTTGACCAGGTTAATCATAACCTTTTGGTCCACAAACTTCATGCTCTGGCTTTGGTGACCACTACTACTGGTCTACTTTGAGAAAGATATAGCTTAATGGAACTTTTTTGTTATGTATCTTATAGTTTATTTTGCCATATATTCAGTATTGTGACATATTTTTGTTTTGTACATATCCCTTACTTCATTTCCAATTACATTAGTAGAATTTGTTTTAATGAAACGTTTCAAAATGAATTCATTTAGTTATATAAGTATAATGTTTCCTTGGTTTCAGCGAAATGTTAATATGGCATCATCAAGGTCCGAAAAATTTTGGCATTACTTCCACCACCTTTATCTGATATGGATGATTCAAGCGATGAAGAAAATAAAAGTTATACTAAAACATCTAGAACTCAAAGTTCTGAAACCGATGAAAGTTTACCTTCTGAAATTCAAGAGATTTTTAATACATTATCAGATACAGATTCAGTATCCAAAACTGAACATTCAAAACCAGAGCCGTCAACACATCAATCTGCTTATAGTTCGCCTAAATCTATTTGCAGTATACCTAAATCTGCTTTGAGTCCCATAAAAACACGATCTCAATATCAGATACCTGGACCATCTAAAGAGATTAACTCCAATTCTAACCAACCTAAAGGCAATGAAATCACCGGCGCTCTGTGTTATCTATGTCGATAATTTCTTTTCAAGTTTTGATTTGTTTTACATTCTTCGCTATGATTGTCCCTCTATCATAAAACACTACAATTCTCACATGGGTGAAGTAGATCTGATGGACATGCTGGTAAGCCTTTACAGAATTCCCCTAAAAACTGGTCGCTATTTGCACATATATATATATATATATATATATATATATATATATATATATATATATATATATATATAGTCCCAAGATTCCTAAGAGGAACATAGGGCTTCCACAAAGTGTCTCCAGCGAACTCTATTTCTGGCTAGTGCTTTGATTTCAAGCCAGGATTTTCCCATTTTTCTCCCTTCGTCCAGTACTGTCCTTCTCCAAGTTCCCTTAGGTCTGCCTACTTTCCGTCGGCCTTGGGGATTCCAATCCAGCGCTGTCCTGGCAATGTCATTTGGCGGTCTACGGAGTGTGTGGCCCAGCCATCTCCATTTTCTTCGCCTTATTTGCTTTATGACATTTTCTTGGTTGCTTTGGTTCCATAAATTTTCATTGGAGATTCGGTTAGGCCAAAATATCGAAGGATTTTTCGTAACGCTCTATTGATGAAAACTTGTAATTGGTGTACTATGGGTGCTGATATCTTCCACGTTTCGCAGCCATACAGTAATACAGCTTTTACATTTGTGTTGAAGATTTTTAATTTCGTTTTAGTTGGGTAAATCCTGGATTTCCATATGTTGTTAAGCATGTTGTAGGCGTTGCGAGCCTTATTTATTCTTTCATGTACATCACGCTCTGTACCCCCATTACAGTCAATTATGCTGCCCAGATATACAAATTCCGCTACTCTCTCAATTTTCTGGTCGTTGATCATAATAGGTTGGTTGTTTCTGGTACCAAATCGCATTTCTTTGGTTTTGTTGATGTTTATTTCTAGACCAACCTTCTTTGATTCTTCTTGTACTTTGTTTACTTGGAGTTGCATGTCCTGTTTTGTATGTGCTAGGAGGCATATATCATCAGCGTAATCTAGGTCTTCCAGTCTGTTTGTTAATCCCCAGTAAATTCCTCTAGAGTTTACCTTTGTTAGTACGGAGTCCAGTACAATGTTAAATAGTATGGGGGATAAAACACAGCCCTGCTTTACTCCGTTTAGCATAGCTATTGGGTCAGATGTTATGCCGTTGTGTAGGATTTTGCTTTCTGTGTCACTGTAGAGTTCTTTGATGAGATTTACTATTTTTTCTGGTATTCCTATTTCCTGCAGTGCTTTCCATATGGCCGTATGTGTGAGCGTGTCAAAAGCTCTCTTGAAGTCCAAAAAGCACACAAAGAGAGGAGAGTTGAATTTCTGTGACTGTTCTACAATTATTCTTAGTGTGTTAATTTGGTCCACGCATGACTGTTTGGTCTGAAACCGGCTTGTTCCTTCCTCAACATTGGTTCTACACTGTTTGTTAGTCGGTTGTTTACATTTGCACAAATGCTAGCTAGATATTTGTATAAATAACGCATGGATTATGTATAGAGGGGATAAAAATATTTTACACACATCCAAAGATTATACTCTCAAATATTTTAAACAGTGCATAGCAGAGTTCTAACAGCAAAGGGTAGAAAAATAAGATAGTGTTCGCCGAGCAAAACGAAGAAATTAAAAAGTGCGTTCTGCCGAAACCATCAGAGGAATTACGGTTTGATAAAGTTGATCGTTTTCTTATTTATGATACTAAAGGTAGCTGTAGGTATTGCAAATCAGGAGACACACTGGTAATGTTCAAAATGTCCTCTTAGATTGTGTTTGGTAAAGGATAGAAATTGTTTTAATTCGTTTCATAATAGCACATTTACAACAGTTTTGGTTGTTATAGTTTATTCGTCTTCCGGGTTTGGACCGTGTCATTTGTGAGTGACCCAAAAGTGGGTTCATCTCGACGTTTCGCTACAATTGTATGTAGCTTCTTCAGGAGAACAAAGAAAAAAAGAAAAAAGAAAAGAAATCAAAGGACAGGAAGATGGGTAGTTAGCAACGGTAACTCAGTTACTCAACGCAACCAGAGGCGAATACTAACTACCAAGATGGGCATTTGGTCACAGTAACTCAACTACTCAACGCAGCCAGAGATGAAAACCAAATGCCAGGACAGGGATTCACGTCCAACAGCTCAGAACACTAACGCGTCGAGAGGCGGGGAGTGAATCCGACGATTGCTCCGCCTCTCGACGCGTTAGTGTTCTGAGCTGTTGGACGTGAATCCCTGTCCTGGCATTTGGTTTTCACCTCTGGCTGCGTTGAGTTACTGTGACCAAATGCCCATCTTGGTAGTTAGTATTCGCCTCTGGTTGCGTTGAGTAACTGAGTTACCGTTGCTAACTACCCATCTTCCTGTCCTTTGATTTCTTTTCTTTTTTCTTTTTTTCTTTGTTCTCCTGAAGAAGCTACATACAATTGTAGCGAAACGTCGAGATGAACCCACTTTTGGGTCACTCACAAATGACACGGTCCAAACCCGGAAGACGAATAAACTATAATTCTGACTCTGGCCGTGGAAGCCTACGATTTCAGTTTTGGTTGTTTTTGACTAGAATGAAAAATTAATATCTTATCTTTTTGCTTCAAATTTTTAATAAAAAAACTACTTTTAGTACTATTAGTTTCTGATTTTATTGTGAAGTTTCACCTACAATCTTAGGAATATGTATCTTATAAACCTATATACCTATACAAAAATTTCATAAAAATTACTGTTATATTAAGGCTTGCCAAATTAAGGGATAATATGTTTTTAAATGAGCTAGTTTTGTGTCAAGCAATCTGTTGAAAATTTGTTTTTTTTTCTGTTTCATAGTCCAGGTACTTTGAGAAAAAATTTTATTTCCTTAAAAAGAAAATGTTTTCTGTATTTTACAGTTCGTGGTTTTTTTGTTTTACAAGTAGGAGTAAATAATGATAGGGCTTCGTTTCTCGGCCGATTTATTGACTATATAGAGCGAAAATATTGTAGGATGTAAGTTAAATGTTCTTAGAATTTCACGTAATAATACAAAAACAAATCACTTAAACAAACTGTATTAGAAAAAAGGCACATGTAAAATATTTTGTAAGCGATAAATTTAAAACTAGCGTCCTTATTGTAACGATGTTGTGATGAGACTCTCGGAGTGTTGACTGAGTTCTGACTGTGACTACCTGCAGCCCCTCTGTGTAAAAATGAAGGTCGGGTATAACTTGACTAAAAGTGTTATTATATGGGGTTGCTCGAAAGTTTTAACAAATATTGTTGTTTCTTCTGTCTGTTAATTTTACATATTTGTCTTGTCAGGTGGTGCAGTAAAAGTATGTTTTGATACTGGAACCTATTTTTATTTGTGGTTTTATTCTTGTTTTCTCGAGATATCCTGTAAAACGTTTGTGATAGGAAGGATACCATCTAAGGAAGCTAGGTTTGCAATACCTGATAAAAATTTTAAAGGAAATACTGAAAGGGATAAATTTATTTATATTAAAATCATTTGAAAAGCTTACAGAAATGTAGAAAAATGTTACTTATATTATATAATTCCACTTATTAAATAAAATATCTATTGTTTTGGAGTAGACTGTTCATTTCTTGCCGGCCAGGAGTTCTTGAGAGCTTCAATGAACTTATTGTCTGGTGCTTTTTCGAAATCATTGACATCCAAAGCCTCCAAATCCAAGTCGTTTCTATTCAGATGCTTTTTAGTTATAGCACTGACAAGTTTATGTTGGTTGATATCGAGCAGCATAGTGGGACCTAAAACAATGGCACATAAAAATTTAGCACATATTATAGTTATAGTATTGGTTATAGTATTGGTACACATTATTTCTTTGTCAGTGTTTAGTGTGTCATGAATGACATTTATGTGTCGCCACAGTACAACAGTATAGTATTCTTTTCTATTTGTTTGTAATTCTGTATGTTCCTTTGTGCTTTATACAGGGTGATTGATTAGTCTGACAACAAATTTTTCTTCCTAGCCGTAAATGAGTTTTTGTATCATTCTAAGTAATTTTGTGATATGAACCTTAAAGTTGGCTACAATTTTTGTTAGATAGGAATAAAAGTTGATAATTATTATAGCGGATCTACTAAGCTTTATCACACTAATCAATCACCCTGTACATAATTAAAAGGAAGAAATAATATATATTTAAACATGAATAAAAAAATAATATGAAATGACATTCGTTGAGTGTGACACATAGTAGAAAAAGAGTCTGTGCTTGTTTTATGCTGCATATGCAATTAAAAAGTGAATTCAGGTTAATAAAAAATACTAAATATCCGAGTACTCACCAAGAGTTTGCCCTGTTACTGCACCAGAATTTTCTATGATCAAACTATTAAAAAAATTGTTGAAATCGTCTTGTTTGATTTTTTCCTTTGGGAATTTTGGTTCTTCGTACTTATGTGGAGCCAGATAATCCCCATATGGCAATAGAGTCATAGTGAAGCATTTTGGCTTATAGTCCAAATTTGGGATGAGAGCATAAAATTTAAATTTGTTGTTTCTCGCGTGAGCCCTTTTACAAATACCATACTTATTTGATTCAGCTAGAACGTTTACCAAGTGGGTGAATGCTTGGAAAGCTAGAAAGAGAAACAAATAAATTACTTTATTGTTATTGATCTTTTTTAGTTTAAACAGCATTTGAATTCAACAATATCTACAGATGGTGATGTATGTGCAATTAACAAATTACAAAACTACTAAATAAGGAACACTTTTAAAGGAGAACATCATCAGAAATGTCAAGGCATAAGACAAACAGGAAAGAATTGAGGTATATTGCACTATGGATAAAGATGCCAGGATGATGATATTACAATATTATTTAAATTCTATTAAAAACATAATTTTCATAGACTATAAAAAAACTAATAACCTTCATTGCTATATTCATCAGGTACAACATAGAAAGTCTCGCCTCCCCTTATGTATGTTTCGGGTATAAATTTTTTATCACTGAATCCGATAATATCGAAACATCTGTCAGTCACTGATTTAAACATATTGTCGTCTATAATCATAAATTTTCCGTGTCGTGTAATGCCCCTTACAAGTTCATCTTCATTAACTACAACATCTCGATTTTCTGCAAGTGTTTTGATAAAATTCCTCGAGGCTGAAGAAGTGAGTCTCAGTTGGAGGTCATTCCTATATAAGAAAAATATGCCTATTAACATTAAAAAAAACTTAAAACACTACAAAATTAACAGACAAAACTTAACAGGGTCATAACAGGAACTAACACAACTAATAACTTATTGCTTTGTGACCTGTTGTAGGTCAACCAAAGTATTCACAGATATTTTTATCGTATCTACTGTTGAATTCCATTTTAATCATAAAATTTTGTATGGTGCTTCCTCTAAACTCAAATCAAACGCATCAGATTGTGAAATGTCTTGCAAAAACGAGCACCACTTGTGAAGATAAAACCCATGTTTATTTAAAACAGTATTTAATTCTGAATAAAGCTCTAAGTTCATGGAAATGGTGTCATACATATATGTTTGCTTTAATAAAGCTTTAGATGTTAGTGGTGCATGGGAGTTACTAAGGGCTACATGAAAAATTAATCTAGCTCAAACTTTTGTTCAATCACTGTGCAGTATTCAATATTAGCCCCAGAGGATTAATTATATTGAATAATTCACAATATTCAGGCCCATAGTAAGTTATGGCTGTGAAACATGGGTGGTGACACAGAAATCTGCCAATGCATTAGATGTGTTTGAAGGAAAAATATTAAGTAGGATACTGGGCTCAATAAGTGAAAACAATAACTGGCAAATTAGGTATAATAGAGAAATATATGAGCAATATAGCGAAACAACTCTAGCACAATACACTAAACTGCAGATAACGGTGGTCAGGGCACTTGGTCCACATGCATGAGAATAGAATCCCCAGAAAATTGCTACATGCAAGAATGCAGGGAAAAAGAACTGTTGGAAGACCTAAAAAGAGATGGGAAGACGAAGTCGATAAGGATGCCAGGAACTGCCTGGGAACGCGTTCATGGAAAAGAACAGCAGTAAATCAAAATGATTGGAGAAGCTTGTTGAAGGAGGCCAAGGCCCGATTTGGGCTGTAGTGCCATTAGATGAATGGAATTCACAATACTGATCAATATTATGATCATCTAGAGGATGCCTATTACAAATTAGCATATTTAAGTTAATCTTATGATTTTTACTTGCTTTTAAAACAAGTTTTAATATCTCGAGACCTCAATTTTGTGACAATTACTTATCAAATTTTAGTTTCCTTGTAACAGTCTGACACATACTGACTAGTCAAATTACATGATAAAAGATCATTATCAATTTCCATAAGAACCTGTTTAGGTTCTTCATTTTTAATTTAGGGTCCATGAATCTCCAGATTACAGGAATATTCTTTAATTTCTAAATCACAGATTCTTTTTCCTAGCTACATGACTTTGGTTTTTAATTAAATATTTTCTTTCTCCATATTTTGAAGTTCTTTCCTAGTGCATACAACATGAGAGAATCAAATTTATTACTTGCTTCAGACAATAAAAGTTTTGTAGACATGCCAGAAACTAAAATATTAGGAAATATCGAAATATAAAATAATTTACCTATATATTTTAAAAGTAGTTGCTGGAATTGAAAACTTGGTTCCAAATGATAATGGTACTCTCCAAGGCAGACCACCTGGAGAGTGTTTGAAACTAAACAAAAGATTGATACCAATTTTAGTATTACACATAACTCCATTCTTGACACCAGTTACTATCTTTTTGGCAATAGATAAATTGTGATTACCAGGAGGCTAGAAGTAAGGAAAAAAAATTAGAAAATCCTGTGATAAAAAAATTCAGAATGTAGCGAATTCAATTACCCATTAACATCTAACTATCATATTTTGCTTATTAAGGAATTATTAAAAAAACAATATATCTAAAGGATTCATTATATGGACAGGTCAATATGTCAACAAAAAAGTGAACATTTACATTAATGTAGCCTAGTTTAATCAAAAGGATGCACATATTTTAAAAAATGTACATATAATTTATAATATTGTTCTGAAGCTATTTTCTTATGACATTTTAAAGTAATTACTATTTAAATGGGAATAAGCTACAATTAAAGGTTAAAGTAAGTTTAACCACACAACATAAACTGGCAGCCTATCATATGTTACATAGATATGGTATGTTACATAGATTAACAGAAATTCCGATGTCAAAATACAACTTTGAGACAGAATTAAATATAATTAAGCAAATAGCAGTAAACAATGGATACAATGAACAAACAATTAATAAAATGTTAAATCAAAAACTACACAAGAAAGCCCTGAAATTAGTATTTCCACCACCAGAGAAAAAACCCTCGATTACATATACAGACAAAATATCAACAAAAATAGCCAAACACATAAAAAAGAAAGGAATAACACCAGCTTTCCGAACAAATAACAACCTAGGCAAATATATTAAAAACAACAAGAGCCAAAATAAAAAACACTTACACAGTGGTGTGTACAAACTTAAATGTGACGACTGTCCAAAAACTTACATCGGTCAAACTGGTAGAAACTTTAATAAACGAATAGCAGAACATAAAAGGGCTTTCAATAATAGAACAACAGATTCTACATACGCACTTCACCTTCTAGATCATAATCATTTTTTAATGACAAATTTAAAATTCTTCACATTCAAAATAAAGGCCTTAAGCTATCTTTGTTAGAATCTATGGAAATCAACAAATTAAAAAACACAGATATAATTCTGAATGACCAACTTGAGACAAACAGTTCTCCCCTCCTCAACCTATTTCATTAGAGACTATAAAGTGTAAACGCATGCCAAAAATAGATCACTTGAGAAAGGCAATCAGCCGAAACAGCTGTAGTGATAAGAGTTAAAATAAATTTTGTGGAAGTTTGAAAACAAAGTTTTCAGTGTTTTATTGTTACATAAAATGAATTTCCATCAAGTAACAGTCGAATCCATCAATTAGTAAATTAAACACATTTTTTTTAAATTTGTTTAATTCATTGTTTGCATTTTGAAAACAATTTCCGAAATGGAAATTGAAGTGTCAATAAACTTACTTAAACCTTTAATTGTGGCTTATTCCCATTTAAATAGTAATTGATTTATTATAGTTTCAAGAAACAAAAAATTTAAATGTTAATGGATACACTGATAACTAAATGTAGTTTTACTGTAAATATTGAATTACCAATCGTAGTTCATTCATGCATTTTGGTATAGTATGTGTATGAGTTATAACATATGGTAGTTCTATGTTGGGTCCAATTATGTAGAGAAATATATCATGTTCATTTATTTTATCCATAAGAGAATTTAATTTTGCTGTATCATAATTTAACGGTATTGTTACATCAAAGGTGGTAAATAATATTAGCTGTAAGGTAACCAGGCCCTTCATTGCTATTGCTTGTTGTAAATGATGTACACCCAAAGATAAGGCATCTAACCAATTTGACTCGCCTGGTGCGGCATTTTCTATCGTAGAAAAGACTGCATTTGGTTCAAAGTCTTCTTCTTCACTTGTGTAAATATGAGGGTACTTAAAATCGTTAGAAGTTTCTGCCGAGTTTATCAAAATCAAGCGGTATATACTTCTGGAGCTCATATACCTCTTATAAACACAAAATTTCATGAGTCCATTGAGAAGTTCATTTTTCTTCGTAGATGCTACATCGAACAAGATAAGCCCGCAATCTTTTTTTGCTGGAGGTGGCATATTATTTGATTTTTTGACGGATTTGTACTAATAATAATATATATTAAAATAAATTCTAAATCGTAAACAGCTACAGGACCGGCATCAATTGAAAATTTAAATGGTCGAAAATGGCATATGACATCACATCACAGTAAACTCCCACCTAGCAGTGTCAATCCCATGTTAAAAAGTAAAACGACGATTGAGGCATCGCCTAGTGCCAGGGTGCGTAACTATATATTAAAGTCCATTTGCTCAGTTCGGGCCAGTGATATGTGAGAGGGCATATTTTGCATCGAGCAAAAAGACATTTTGTCTGTTTCATAGCTGGAAACCTACAACACAAAAGTTCCTATCTCATAAACTTTTATGATGATATGATATGACCTATCAAAGCAAGGCAAATCCAGTACAAATTTGATGGGGATGTAAAAATTCTTATAGTAATTCTTTAAGAATTTTATGCTTTGTTTGATATACATAAGAATGATATATTTTAATCGACAGCTTGTTTTACAATTATAAAACCATTTAACTGAAAACCATTTATTATAACATTAATATCCAACAAGAAGAAAGACGTTGTCAAATAGAGTTAACAAATTTAATTCACATTTAATTGTAGGTTATGGAAAACGTCACTGTCAATTTCTTTTATCGTGCTCGTGCAAATACACGAAGAGGTGCATTTGACCATGGCTGATGAAATAAAAAATGTAGTGGAAAATGGGGGCGATGCGCCTCCCAAGACAGCTAAACAGCTTGCCAAAGAAGCAGCCAAACAAGCTAAATTGGATAAATTAAAACAGAAATTAGAGAAACAGCAAAATGCAGCTCCCAAGAAGGATAAAGAAGAGGTAAGTCTGTCGGTTTAACATATGTTTATTGAATGAAAAGTTGATCGGCGTTTATGTACTCTGATTCAGTTTTAGAAAAGCCATAATTTGTAGTTATTTGGTGTATAATTAACTTGATGCAATATATTTATTTCCTTACGCAATTTTGTCCTGAGGGACTTTTGTTCACCCACAGAAAAATCTAGATGACCCTATAGTATTTCATGGAAGATTTTATTTTTTAGAAAAAAGAGAAAAAGAAAGAAGTAAAGGAGGCTGCAACCTATAGCATCTCAACACCAGAAGGAGAGAAGAAAGACACCACAGTTGCTTTACCTGATGCTTATAGTCCCAAATATGTGGAAGCAGCTTGGTATAGTTGGTGGGAAAAGAAACAATTTTTTAAACCTGAATATGGGGTATGTTATAAGTAAATTCTTTTAATGATTTTTTCTAATTTTTTTTGTAATTGTAGCGAAAGTCTGTACTAGAGCCAAATGAAAATGGGAAGTTTGTTATTATTATTCCTCCACCTAATGTAACAGGGGCTTTACATTTGGGACATGCTTTGACCAGTTCAATACAGGATTCTCTAGTCAGATGGTATGTATATTATTAACATCTGGATTATTTCTTAGCACATCCAGAAATTCAGAAGTCAAAACTTATTTGCATCTTAGATTATGTGTAGTTTCCACCTGCTGTTGCCCAGTTAGCTAACTACTGATTTAACTTTGCAATGAAGTAATAATGATGAATGAACATTCTCATAAATTGACCCAAAGTCTTTAAATTAATCAAGGCTCTGAATTTTGAACATAACTTTCTCATTGACAAATGTTTAACTATATATGATTGGCAAAAATGATTAGGACAGCTGCCTAGTTTGTGTCTAGACTGACTTTTAAAGAACACTTTTAAATGTTGTTTCCTTCAATACCAAATATATAAATCATAAGAAAGCTATGCTTCCAATATTTATTATTGTATTAGTTATTTATTAAGTTTGCCAGGTTTTTGTTAAGATTGAGCAATATATAAGCATCTATATTTTTTGATAATACTTTTTGTAAACTTTGGAGATTTTGTTATTAACCTGCCTATCTATGGTATGCCTGAGACTTATTGCAGTAATTTTTAACTATTTTGTAATCTCAAATCTTATACATATAGAGTTACTAGTATAATGTTTTTAGGCATAGAATGAAAGGAGAGACAACTTTATGGAATCCAGGCTGTGACCATGCTGGAATAGCTACTCAGGTAGTTGTGGAAAAGAAGTTATGGAGAGAAGAGAAGAAAACTCGTCATGATATAGGAAGAGAGAATTTTGTCCAAAAAATTTGGAAATGGAAGGATGAGTAAGACAAATTAATATTATTTTTAAACTGTACGATCATAAGTTAGGCATTAAAGAGCGGCCTTGATTTCATTTGTCAGTGAGTTAATTTGTTAAATACAAAGAATTCATTTCATTTAATGGTCTTATGTAAATTCAAAAAATAATAGTTCAAGAATTCCTGGTGTGATGAAATATAATGACATTACTACCTCCGACCCACAAAATATTGTGAATATGTTTGCAGAATTTTTCAAGAGTGTTTTTCTGTCATCAGATATTAATTTCAAGGCTAACTCTTCCTCAGTTAACGCAGATTACTTAAATTTTTATCCTATTTTAGAGTCTGAGATAATTTTTGCTAGTAAGAAATTGAAAGACAAAATGACGTGTGGACCTGATAATATTCCATCCTTTTTGGTTAAGGATTGTATAGGTATATTGTATGCCTTAACTGTGCCACTATTAAAAATTTTTAATTTATGTCTTCTTAACAAGGAATATCCGAGTCTCTGGAAGGAGTCAAAAGTGTGCCCAATATTCAAAACTGGTGAAAAGGGTCAGGTAGAAAACTACAGACCAATTTCCATTATTTGCAATCTATCGAAAGTCTTTGAAATAGTTTTGTATAATCGTATTTATTCACGCACTCGTAATCAGCTGTCTCAATATCAACATGGTTTTGTCTCCAATCGGTCCACTGTGACAAACCTATTAATGGTCACACAATATATCTCAGCAGCCCTAGATAATAGAAGTCAAGTTGACGTCATATATACTGACTTTACGAAGGCATTCGACAGAATTCACCACAGCGTATTACTTTCTAAATTGTGTCTCTTTGGTCTTTCTGAGGATGCCGTGACTTTTATGAGGTCTTACTTGTCAAATAGAACGCAGTTTGTTGCTTATAATGGTTACAAATCGGAAAAGTACCTAGCTTCTTCAGGGGTTCCACAAGGTTCTAATCTAGGTCCATTATTGTTCTTGTTATTTATTAACGATCTGTGTGAATCAATTTCTGCACCATGTTTATGTTATACCAATGATTTAAAGATTTATTCATTGATAAGCGACCTTAATGATTGTCATTTTCTGCAGAGTGAACTGAATCGTGTACATGAATGGTGTAATGCAAATCATTTGAATCTTAATGCCAATAAGTGCAAAGTAGTTAGTTATTCGAGGAAACAGTCTAATATATACCATCCTTATATTATCGATGGCAATGAACTTGAATGTTTGAATAAAATTAAAGACCTTGGAGTTACATTTGATTATAAACTCACCTTTGTTGAACATGTTAATTTAAAGGTTAAAGAAGCACTTAAATCTTATGGATTCATAATTAGAAATAGTCGAAATCTCACTAATACTAAGGCAATTAAATTACTTTATTACACTTTTGTACGCTGTAAACTGGAATATGCTTCTGTCATTTGGTCACCTTTTTATGATGTACACATCCAAATTATAGAGCATGTGCAGCATAAATTTTTAAAATTTTTGTCTTTCAAAATTAACGGCATATATCCCAGGAGGGGCATCAGCAATAGCGAGTTGTGTAGCGGTTTAGACGTAGTATCATTAGAATCTAGACGAATTAATGCCTCCCTAATATTCCTGTACAAGCTACTACATAATCTCATTGACTGCCCTGATATTCTTCGACAAATAAATTTTAACGTTCCATCTTATCCAGTGAGAAATTCGATTACGTTCAGAAATACACAAGCTAGAACTAATCTTATGTTAAATTCTCCTCTATTTCTCATGTGCAACTATTATAATTCCTTAAGTGCTTACTGCAATATATTTCACTGCAGTTTAAAGCAGCTTACTAGGATGGCTGAGATCTACCTAGGTGATTAAGTAGTTTCTTTATGTTAAGGTAAAATACTCGAAAAATGTGTTATTTAGTTAGTACCTATGAATTATTAATTTTTCATTTACCTTTAGTATTCTATTTTGTCCTATAAATGGATTCTGTTGGACAATAAACGCTATTATTATTATTATTATTTAAACAATGTGTCAGAAAAACAATGTATCCATATAAAATATCAACTGTATCAACAATACTTAAATTTGTCTTTGTATATTTCATTGTAAATGTGCTTATATCTATGGTGTCTGATTAAAAATAGCACAAAGAAAATAGCTGAATATTCCCTACTTCAGAAATATTTTTTATTATTTTGGAGTAGAGAATCTTCAGTGATTCTATGTCCCATTCTTAAGGTCGATTCAGACACATCAGTCCCGTCACAGTCTCGGCGCCGAACCGGTCCTGTTTGGTCACAGAACTATTAATTATCTGACAGATGGGAAACTGTTCGTCAACTGATGAATGTGAATGCCGGCGCCATATTTCTATTAAAGAGTATTTTGTATGACGGATTGTTCGGTTCGGCGCCAGGACTGTGACGAGACGTGACTGATGTGTCTGAATCGACCTTTAATGGGAGAACTGTGGACTGTATACTAAATTTATATTATTACAATGTTTGTAGAAAAGGTGTACGAATTTATCACCAATTGAAAAAAATGGGAGCATCATATGATTGGGACAGAGCGGCTTTTACCATGGACCCAAAATTATGTAAAGCTGTAGTGGAAGCATTTGTGAGACTGCACGATGATGGCACCATTTACAGATCAAATAGATTGGTCAATTGGTCATGTACGCTGAAATCTGCCATTTCTGATATTGAGGTAACTATAGTTCTTTTCACAATCTATTTTCAGTGCTCTTGCAATTTCCATTATGACGAAAGGGTGGAATATGCCACATCCAAAAACTGCAATCATACTGAAAATCATGTATAAAATGTATGGTATGTTTTTGGAGTTTCACAACACATTGACTGCCTGACTTGAAAATATAATTAATCCCTGAAAAATCAAGAAGACAATCGATTTTTGAGGATAAAAGGCAGCATATTTCCAATTAGAATACTGCTCATATTTCTAAGACTGCTCATATTTCTAAGGCTCAGAGCATTATTTGTTGCTGCTTTTATCTTATACTTTATCTTTTGATATTGGATATTTACTATTTTTGTTATTGGTTGTTTATTGACTTGTTGATTTGTTTATTGTTTTCAATTCCACAAGTCCTGACTTTGAGGCTGGAAATAGGTTTACGAACCTTGTGATCAAATGATAATTTTTGTCACAATTAAATGTTAGATCACCCTTATTGTAAGCCACGTTTCTACAAAGTACACTATATATTCACTTGGTGATAGTATTTCAATGAAACGAACACCAGACTTTGACATGGGCTCATATAGTACCATCAGGTCTACACAAGCGGATGATACTTTTCTTAGAGCATCTGACGAGGCCAGCTATATTTGTTTCAGCATCAAATAAAGTTGCTTGAACTTACTAATGCTCTAAACATATATATTCAGAGACTGAATATAAAAAACTTTGTAAACAATGGATATCACGAATTACAAGTGCTTGATGCATTTTAAGAAAAATAAGAATAATTTTTGGCCTCAATTTGTAGGCTTCAAAGAAAGAATGGTGCCATCGGCGGGAGAAATGTCATGGCGTCACTGTTTTGAGAAGTGAAAGAAATTTTGCAGAAAGGAAAATCCTACTCTCAACTTCTAATGAAACTTAGCACAAGCATTTCTCAAGGCAGACCAGGCTTAAAGAAGAAAATTGCTTTTTAGGCAGAGCAATGCACCTGCCCGCTAAAGTATTTAGGCAATGAGGAACTTGCAATCTGGATCTGGACCATAAAAAGCTGAAATATCCCCCACATTCTCCAAATTTGACACATTATAACTTTATCTAGTGTTAAGACTTAACACATCCCTTTCTGGTCATGGCTTTTTGTTTATTCAAGAAGCCAAAATCTCTTTAAAAGAATAAATTGCTGCAATTTTACCTACCATCAACGTAAAATTCTCATAAATTATATTGTATTTTGTTATTTATAGGTGGACAAAGTAGAACTTCCTGGTCGTACTTTCCTATCAGTACCGGGATATGATGAAAAGGTAGAGTTTGGTGTGTTGGTTCACTTCGCTTACCAAGTGGAAGGATCTGAAGAAAAACTGATAGTAGCCACAACTCGTGTGGAAACAATGTTAGGCGATACTGCTGTTGCTGTACATCCAGATGATGAAAGGTAAACTATTATCATTTACTAGTATTTTTAATTATCTTCATTAGTTTATTTTACTTTAACAAATGCTTTTTAGGATTCCTAACATACCTAACAATCTTTGGTCATGATATTTTTCACATGAAAACTGTAAAAATTGCTCCGCTAAAAATACGGGGTTTTAAAGCGAAGCGATTTTACAATTTCAAAAACTGAATTCATAAATTCAAATTTATAAAAGTCGCAATATCTCCGGTTCTAATCAATAAAAATTGATGTTTTTTTTTTAATTGGTGTACCTCGTGACATAGATCATAAAAATGCATTTAGTTAATTTGTGAATTGTTTATTTAACCAAGTAATTTATTTAACCAATTTAAATAAATATTTATGTTGCAAAATTTTACTTTTTTCTCATTATTATTAGTAGAAAGAGTTATATCATTTCATAACTCTTCTAAGCAACTTGAATATTTATGTATTATAATTATAAAAAATATCTTTTAACAAAAAATTAATCTTGTTTTAGGTATACACATTTACACGGAAAATATGTCATCCACCCATTCTGCGATAGGAAACTACCAATAGTTGTGGATGATTTCGTGGAGTTGGGATTCGGTACTGGAGCTGTTAAAATTACACCTGCCCACGATCCTAATGATTACGAGGTGGGAAAAAGACACAACTTACCTTTTATTAACATTTTTGATGACGAGGGACTCATCGTTGGAGATTATGGAAAATTCACTGTGAGTATTGTGAACAAAATTGTAAATTCATAGGCAAAAAGAACCTACATTTTTTAAAAATATTCAGAAATATCCAAATATGCAAAAAATATTCATTCAGTAAATCTTTGAGTGTCAATAACAGTAAATATAAGCTGAAATTTGATATGTTTAGACTTTCTAATCACTTTATAATGAATGTTTTAAAAATGTCGGGTTCTGTATTTCAACGCATATTTTTCTATATTTCTCATTTAAAAATTTTCTGTTTTGACTTAAATTTTCAAAAATAAATATCGTGCGTACAAGCATTTCTTGCATACTGAATGATTTTAACAAACTTTTTTATTGATTTTTCCATATTTGTAGGGAATGAAACGATTCCATGCAAGAAAAGAAATTGTAAATGCTTTAAAAGAAAAAGGTCTTTATATAGACACGAAGAATAACCCTATGGTGGTCCCCATTTGTAATCGCAGTAAAGATATAGTGGAACCTATGCTGAAGCCTCAATGGTAAGTAAAGAATCTTTTAGAATTGAGAGTATGGCTATTAAATCACGAAATTGACACTGTAAATATTTACTTTGGATTTTATACATATTTACTTATTATACCCGGTTCGCTAATCCCAGTCCGAACTGTCTAGTGATTTTAGCATGATACTATGACTATAAGATAAGATATTGCGCATGTTTTTGTGACGTCATTGGAGACTTGCACGTTCGAAATGTCAGTTTTTGTATATATCAATAAATAATCTTTAATAGTTTGGAGATATCCTTATGTGTACGATTATTGTAATTATTAAACCTCTTAACTTATTTTCGTCTAGTAATTTCATCACAGAATGCATACAAATCTCATTTAACTTTAACAAGAATTCAAATTCTAGTCTCCAATGACGGCATGCGCGAACCCGACCGATTTTGAGCTACGGGAAGATCCTATCTTGTTATTCATAGTATCATGGATTTTAGTAATTATGTTTTTACTAAGTTAGTTAGTTACTTTTTGACAGACTAGAAGTGGCTGGAAATTACTATACGACCAAGATCACGTGCTCATAGCGCATTTCATTAAAGTATTTCGTCGATCTCTTTTGCAAACTTATATGACTTAGAAATTTATAGCACGTATAAAGATAGTAAGTTTCTATTATATGTAAAAAATATATTTCATAAAAAAGTTACCGTAATTTAGTTTATATCGTTAGGTTACGCCAAATATAGGCAACCTTAGCATTTATACTGAAGTTTCTTGAGAATATATTTAATTTTATTATTATTTTTTAAAGTGATGATAATAATGTTGAATAAGCCATATTTCAAATGATATACAATCACAAGACGTACTTAATATTGTGTTATATAATATAATCCTCATAAAGTACGTTAGATAAAAAATATAATATTCATATTATAATTAAAAAATATTATGCATCAAAAAGATAATACAATATCATCAAAAATATAATTCAAAAATATTGTAATATTCTATTATTACTATCATAAACTAGTTTTTTTTTCTAATTTTAGCTAATTTCTATTAGAAACGTACTTTATGAAGATTATATAAAATAATATTAAGTACTTTTGTGATTAAATATCATTTAAAATATTGCTTATTCAGCATTATTATCATGACTTTTAAAAAATAATATATTAACTGGAAAATATTAAACGTTTATTAAAAATATTCTCAAGAAACTTCAGCTAAATGCCAAAAAAGTTTAAGTTGGTTGCCTACATTTGGAGCAACTTAACGGTATAAACTAAATTACTGTAACTTTTTTATAAAATATATTTTTTATATATAATATACATTTTATATATAATAGAAACTTTATACATGCTATATATACATGGATGTTAACTGAAATGTTTTTGTTATTAAGAATATATTTACAGAACTTCATAAATATATTTTAGTGATCAACCTACGCCGAATGAGCAAATAATTAAAAAAATGGTTGGTGTTTTGAATAAATCTTTGTGCAGCTTGATTACCTTGTAATTTAACAGCATCCTTAATCATCTAAAAATATTAACTTTTAAAGAACATTTATCATATTTATTTAAGAAAAACTTACCAACGCATTATCTGATAGAACAAATGGAAAACTTTGACTATCCCTAATAATAAAATTCAAAATAGAACTATAACTAAATAAACTAAATAGAACTAACAACAATATTTACTACAATATAATATTAAATTTTAGTAACTCAAATAGTATATTTTAAATATACAGGGAAAATTTGATGGGTTTAGTATACACTTCCACTATTTAGAATAATTCTTCTTTTTTTCAAAGAAAGAAGTCTGCAATAGTAGTATACTTGAGCTATTAATACTGAGAAGTAGGAATTGTTGTGTTGTAGGTTTCCGACAATGAGTCTGTCAAAATATGCCCTAGCTAAGCGAATGGAGAATATTAACTTTAATATACTCTCCTCATGGACGTATAAATATAGATGGACACAGCAATAAGATACCTTTAACACACAATGTTTTGAAGCTTCCATATAATGTGATGCTTCCGCAATGAGCATAAGCGTGCTTGAATTTTTACTCGCGGGTAATTATTCAGATTTTAAAAATTGGAAGTAGTAATAATGTATAAAAACACGTTTTAAAAAGGTACTAAACAGATCTTTTTTAATCAGATGATGTCTACTTACAATTTAAAAATGTCTACTAATTTCATGATCATATCTTATTCAATACATTAATGAACATGAATAAACCCAATGGTACGCCTATTAAAATGTAAACAAACCCGCTTCCTCATTGCCTCATCTTAAATAATGTAAATTGTATGTACTTACAAATGAAATGAGAGATCGGGATGTAAATATTTCGTTTATTTTATTTCACTTTTCACAAATATCACTCAAAATACAGCCAAAATATCGAAAAACAACTTTTACTAAAAAGTAAACAAACATAGAACAGCATTTGAAGTTTGACGTAGATCCATAACACAGAGAAATGTAAACAATCGTTGCCATTTATAAATAGTTTTCAGTGCTTCTACATATAAAATAATTGATTGATATCTATTATACGCTATTATTAAATGATAATGCACACTATGTGCACACTTTATATTTTGATTACAATTAAATATATTAATCTAACCAATAAATTATTATTTTCGGAGTATTTTATTATAAAATACGGAGTAATATTTTCAGCGACTCACGAATAAGAAATTTTAAAACAAAACGTGACAACAGTTGAAGGTGCTGAGAATGTGACCTATTCAAATAATTTTGACTTCACAATTTTATGTATACTTCATCTAATTTAGATAACGACTTACGTCATTATCTACGTCAGAGATCGAAGTTGACATAGTTGCCAAAGTATAAAAAAATCCTGACTCCATTTTAAATCAAATAGATTACATAATTATTGCAAAAGTAGTACCATCTCTTTACAACGACTATTTAAATTCTTACGTGACATTTTTGAAATAAAACACACTAATTTTGTTCTAAAAAGAACAGATTTTATTAAATAGTTGAAAATATAAAACAAGAGATATTCACTTTAAAATTCAAAATAATGAAGTACAAAAAGTGTCAACACGGCAACTGTCAAATAGGTGTTACCAATTTATGCCAAAATTTTACCTTCGTTCGATTACAGTTACAGTGTGATCCGAACAAATGTTCTTGATAAAAACGCTTTATAATGCATTTATACAAATTCAATGAAACATATTATTGTATATTTCTTTAAGTTAACATCAATAGAAATTTTTAAATATTATTTCTACGCGTATATAATAAAATATGTCTAGTGGATGTAATGCCAGTGTACTCGGTAAAGTGATTCTAAAAAAGAACATACCTACACCCTAAGTATTTTGTGTTGGTATCATGTGACGTCACAGGCTATGACGCCGATGACGTACATCGTTATATAAAGTGTAAATAACTGAGTCCATCTGTGTTTATACGTCCATGACTCTCCTACTCTGACTTGTGACGTCTTCTCTTTTAAACCTTAAAATATTATTTGCCTTTAATGTGGATTTCGCCTTAGAAAACCCTGTCCCACCCCCAAAAGACAAAATACACATTCAAAAAATTTGAGAAGGTATATGTGATAACTAGAAGTATTTTGACAAATTTTCAGAAAACTTTTGCTTATTTGTTCAGAAAAAACTAAGAAATACTTTTGAATTTTTTGAACATTCTTGAATGCACAGTTTTGCCACAATATAAAAAAGAGTTAAATCATCATCTTAATGATAATGATTTAAATAAAACGCTTCCTTTTGTATACTCTATCCACAACTTTTATTTACTTGTACAATGGCTCCTTTAAATGTAAAATACAGACTAACTGTTTAATAACAAACATACAAAAACTTTATTTAAGCAATTCATATTGAATCTAACTAAAATCATTTTGGAGATTTTCATCAAAACGGTCGAAGTCGATGTATATAATATATGATGAAGCTTTCCAAGATTGGTATTACAACAAAGTTAATGCTGTGCTATAATTATTTTCAGGTATGTGCGATGTGGTGAAATGGCCCAGGAAGCCATAAATGCCGTTAACAACGGCGACCTGAAATTAATTCCCGAAGTGCACGTGAAAATCTGGCATCACTGGATGGAAGGTATCCGCGATTGGTGTATATCAAGGCAGCTGTGGTGGGGTCACCGAATTCCTGCGTATTTCGTCACTATGAAGAGCAAACCACAACAAAAGCTTTTGCCAGGCGTTAGTATTAAACAATTCTAGTTATTTACTAAAAACAATCTACATAAATTACTTACTTAAATCGATGTTTTTGTTCAGAGCGACGATGGAGAATTTTGGGTTTCCGGAAGGACCAAAGAGGAGGCACTAAAGAAGGCTGTGAAAAAATTCAATGCTACAGAAGATGACTTAATCTTGACTCAAGATGAAGACGTGTTGGATACCTGGTTTTCTTCTGGGTTGTTCCCGTTTTCGATCTTTGGATGGCCGGACGAAACTCAAGATCTTCAAGCCTTTTATCCTACTTCCTTACTGGAAACTGGTCACGATATTTTGTTCTTTTGGGTGGCCAGAATGGTCTTCCTAGGCAAAAAGTTGCTAGGAAAACTACCGTTTAAGTAAGTGTAATGTACAATTATTTTTTCGTTTTTGTTTCTTTTATCATAAGAGTATAAGTGTTGTTTTTAGTTCTATTAAAAATCTAGTTTTTACTGTCTAAAAAATTGAAAGAATTTAAGGATCTTATGCTACCATCACTTGTTACTTTCTTTCATTTTATCTCAGTTTTTTTGTTTCCTTCTCTAACGTTCTTCTTGCTGACTTTATTCTGTTTTTCTCATTTGTTCCTGGAATATTTCTCTTGTATTTTCATGTGACTGAATTGTATTCTCAAATTTATTGTAATAATAATGTACAGTTGAAACTGTCTTACCCCAGTATAGGAAAAGACATAGGTGAAAAAAATGTTACAGGTATCTGATCGTTTTAAATCATAGTGACATAAAAAAATGTATCAAAGTTCTGCCAGATCGGCCCTATTTTTTTATAAACAAATGCCAAAGTTCGAAAATGTAATTTTTTTATTAATATTAGCAGCAATTTTTGTATTGTGCAACTGCTTTCGAGGTATAAGTGAAAGTCTGTGAATTTACTCGCTTCAAAGTGAGTCAGCAAGCGTTCGATCCCACACTTATACTGTAAAGTTACATATAATTGTCCAATTTATTAAAGTTTACTCATTCTATTTTCTCATGGTTACTATATCTTCTAGATTCTTAATATTTGTTTGACCGTCTTTCAAATTACAATTTTTTTAAATACAAATTGGAGCATTTTTTTGTTTTTAGAGAAGTGTACTTGCATCCTATAGTACGAGATGCTCACGGAAGGAAGATGAGCAAATCCCTAGGCAACGTAATTGATCCCATGGACGTCATAACGGGAATGTCACTGGAAGGGCTTCACCAACAACTGATCGACGGCAATCTAGACGCTAAAGAGGTAGAGAAGGCTAAACAAGGACAGAAACAAGATTATCCCGAAGGAATACCTGAATGCGGTACTGACGCGCTTCGGTTCGCGCTGTGTGCTATGTGTTCCGGTAGAGACATCAATCTGGATATTATGCGTGTTCAAGGATACAGATTTTTCTGTAATAAAATATGGAATGCCACAAGGTAATGAATTGATTATACTCTTATATCTTATATTTTTTGCACAAATATTATTCAATTTTTTATTTGCTTATTATTATTTGCTTTTTATTCTGCAAGGTCCACAGCGTGACAGGTGGGCATACTCACCACTGCACTACCCAGTATGACTTGAATCGTGGTAACTGTCGAACGCGAAATGGACTACCTAAGCTCTGGCGTCAAAATGGGCGAAGATTTTAAAAACCTTTCCAAACATTTCTAATTTGTGTATATTTTTTCCATGAGAAGTTGCAATTATTGTTTTTTTTTACATGTTTAAGAATAAATAAGGCCTTTTGGTCATAAACATTCTTTCTGTGCGAGTGGGCTAGATCAATATGTAAAAACATCGAGGTGCTGAACAAATTTAACACCGGCAGTGATCATAGACTAGTTAGTGCTGATATACGTATTAACGTAAAGAGAGAAAGACGAAAACTATTAACAACAAACCCTTTACCGACGGCAGCCATCCTAGCCAGTAATAAATAGAAATACCAAGAGGAATTAGCACGAAAATTAGTAGCAAATACCTTTGAGCACAAGAATATAGATGATCTAGCTGAGAAAATAACTAGACATACAAACAGTCGCTAAGAAACTTTATTGCAGACTAAGAAAACAAAAAGAAGCTAAACTAAAACCCGAGACTCTGGAACAGATAGATAAAAGAAGAAGAACGAACAGAGACAACTCGGACTATAAAGCGCTCAACAGAAGCGGTAAGAAAAAGATCTCAGAGCTTATAGAACAAACCAGATTCTTGAAACCATAGAGAACATGAAAGTACTAAAAACATGTAAATCCACTGACAGGAATAAAATCATAAAGATAAAAGACGACCGTGGAACATTGTGCTCGCATAAGGAAGAGATCGTTAGAGAAATCCGAAAATTTTATGAGAAGCTGTATAGACCTATATATATACCCTAGGACGACAAATTCAGAATCTTCGGGTAATACTCCTGTGGCTTTTCTTCCGTATATTCGAAGTGTCACTGATAGGATTGGCAAAATTCTTCGCAAAGAAGGTATCAGGACTACTTTTCGACCACCCAAGAAAATCTCACAATATCTACCCTCTCCTAAGGACCCATTACCGCCCCTATCTTCCTGTGGTGTCTATTCTATTCCTTGTTCATGTGGACATGTGTATATTGGCGAAACTGGTCGTTCCGTCAAAACTCGGATTCAAGAGCATCAAAGATGCATTCGATCAGGTCTTTTCTCCCATTCTGCAGTTGCAGAACACTGCCAAGAAACCGGTCATTCCATATTGTTCGAAAAAACCCATATTATTTCTAAGAGCCCCTTCTTTTATTCCAGGAAAATCCGCGAATCTCTAGAGATCCGAAAAAATCCACATAATATCAATCGAGAGGAAGGATACTACCTGTCTCCCATCTGGAATCTCAGTCTAGAGCCGCCGTCCGGTACCGCTACCACGATGCAGCCACATGATTGGAAAGCGCGCGCTTCTTGACGTTCGCGCCACGGAGTGTGCCGATACGTCCCGACACGACAGGTCACCGCGACTATAAATAGAGCGGTAGCGTAATAATCGTCGGATTCACTCCCCGCCTCTCGACGCGAAAAGGTCGATTCAGACACATCAGTCACGTCTCGTCACAGTGATTGCTCCGAACCGAACAATCCGTCATACAAAATATTCATTAATACAAATATGTTGCCGGCATTCACACTCATCAGTTGACAAACAGTTTCCCAGCTGTCATATAGTTAATAGTTCTGTGACCAAATGGGACCTGTTCGGCGCCGAAACTATGACGGGACTGATGTGTCTGAATCGACCTTTAGTGTTCTGAGCTGTTGGACGTGAATCCCTGTCCTGGCATTTGGTTTTCACCTCTGGCTGCGTTAAGTAGTTGAGTTACTGTGACCAAATGCCCATCTTGGTAGTTAGTATTCGCCTCTGGTTGCGTTGAGTAACTGAGTTACCGTTGCTAACTACCCATCTTCCTGTCTTTTGATTTCTTTTTCTTTGTTCTCCTGAAGAAGCTACATACAATTGTAGCGAAACGTCGAGATGAACCCACTTTTGGGTCATTCACAAATGACACGGTCCAAACCCGGAAGACGAATAAACTATAATTCTGACTCTGGCCGTGGAAGCCTACGATTTCATTTGAGAAGCTGTATACTTCTACTATTCCGAACCCCGGTATACCAACAAAACATATCTTAAATGTGGGCTCGGAGGATCTCCCTGAAATAAAAACATCAGAAATTAGAGCCGCCCTAAAACAAATAAAAAATGGGAAAACACCAGGAGAAGATAAATTACTTCAGGGATGCTAAGAATGGAAGGCACTGCATTAGAAGAGGCAATGCGAGCATTACTGAATAAATGCCTATTGGAAGGACAAATGCCAAAAACATGGAAAAATGCGGAAGTCATTCTACTGCAATTAAAAACGAAAAGGAAAATCAAACCCTACAAATTAAAAGGACACAATTGTCATGAGCTGCTTTTGGTAAGTCGAGCTTCATTTTAAAAGACAGAAAAATACTAATACACTTAAAATGAAAAACCCATGACACTTGTATACTACCAGTTGCAACTTATGGATTGGAAACTATGGCAATAACAAGAAAAATGGCAGAACAATTAAAAGTAACTCAACGGGTCATGGAGAGGGCCATGTTAAATATAAGCCTCAAAGACAAAATTCCTAGCACCGAAATACGTCGAAGAACTAAAGTAACCGATATCAAGGAAAAAATAGCGACATTGAGATGGCAATGGGTAGCACATGTAGCAAGACAAGACTCCAACAGATGGTCTCATAAAGTGACATTCTGGAGACCTCGAGAAACAAAAAGAAGCGTGGGAAGATCCAAAAAGAGATGGATAGATGATATAACAGATGTAGCTGGCAAGCAGTGGATGAGAATTGCAAAAGATAGGGAAACGTGGAAGCAATTCGAGGAGGTTGAAGAAGAGAGTGGTATTATTTGTTGTTCGTGAATTTGTAATGTAAGAATATCAAAGTATTAAGATATTTACTATCAATGTTCATTTTTAAGGTTATGTTATTGTTGGATTAATAATTAATTTTTACTGTATTTCAAGGTATTTTGTTGTTGTTTTTATAGGGGTTATTTCAAAATTAACCAATAAATCATTCATTCATTTTTATATTTATTCATATCAGAATGATTCATTTTTATATAATAGATTAATAATTAGAACAATAATTTTTTACCAGATTCGCCTTGACATATTTTGCCTCCGATTTCGAAGCACCACTGGATAATAAATTGATCGGAAATGAAAGTTTGATGGATTTGTGGATGCTTAGTAGACTAGCAACTGCAATTACTGATGCCAATAGAAGTTTTGCTTCGTACGATTTTGCTGCAGTTACCACTGCTATATATAACGTATGGCTGTATGAACTCTGTGATGTATACTTGGTGAGTTTCCTAATTTTCAGCTTATATGTACAGGATTTGTTATTTATATTTGTAAATAATTCAACTGGACAATCTTTAGTTAAAAAATTATGTAACGGTTGTTCTAGAAACTTATTCTAGATGATAAACAAATTGTTATTTAACATATCAAACATTATTCAATATTTCCAAATGCAAAAATTAACAAATTAGCGTTAACTTTTCATCGTCATTCAAATGTCAGTACTGTCAAACTAAACATTGAGGCCATGTTGAGGCATTGCTGTAAACACTAGCCGAACTGGAATTAACCTTCCGTTACTCGTGCCAATTTTCTGTGATCGAATACTCGCGCACGGTGCAGAAGACCGGGTCCGAAAAAATGGGGTCAGTAATATTTTTTAATTTTCTTTTTTTGAAAATTGTGTACAATTATATTATTTAATGAATATATGATCATATAATTTTGTAGATATGCGTTTGTTTCAACATTATATTAGTTTAATGAAAAGTTAACTAATTTTCATTGTTATCCATTTATATATACAAAAAACTTTAAAAATTAAAAAAATACATTGAATATTGTTAAATTTGTTTACTAGGAACTTCAAGAAATTAATTCAATACACAAAAAAATCAAAAATGAAGAGTAATTGCAACAAAAAAAAATAAGAAATATTAATTAAAATTTTCATAACATGAATTACACAATGATGTAACATGTTCCAAACACAGATATTTTGTGCATATTTGGCAGTAATATTTTGTTTTTCTATTTTTCCGCCAATGACAAACAGCACAGCGACCTTGAGTTCCAGGTGTTATGACTGGTACTTGTTCCGCTGGTAAGCCACATATCTCCCTAAGCCTCATTCTGATGGTTCTGGGTAAACTGGTAGACATAGCCCGTACTTTTTGGTAGTCACTGGTTAGTAACATCGAGAGTTTTAGTAAAAATTCTTTACGTGGTGTTTTAGATTCTTCATCTAGACTAGTATAAACTACAAAAGAGTTTATTCCTGCTACATTCAACAAACTAAAAAAAGGAACCATGGGCCATCGTCTTGTGGCACGGGCGCAATTATATTGCGCGCATAATTTATCTACCACATCTACTCCGCTCTTCGTTTCATTATATGTAATTATCATCTCAGGTTTACCTGTGGTAGGGTCAATATCATCTCCATGGTGCATTGTAGAGATAAGTAGGACGTTTCGATTTTTTTTTTGGCATATGCGAAACCAAGGTGATTCCGTCATTAAATCCAAACATTGAAGAGCCAATGCACCTGCCGTTATTTTGTATAAATTCTAATGGCAACTGTTTTTTATTTTTTCGAATAGTACCCACTAAAGTTAATTTTTTTGATTTAAGGCTATCAGCTAGAGGCACACTACAAAACCAATTATCTACAGTAACATTCCTATTACTCCCATAAATGTGTGCACAAAGTCTTTCTACTACGTCTTGCGTCGCTGTACTAACTTGAAAAGGGCCATTTGGTTGTTTTCCGACGTAAACTTCTAAGTGGCTGGTATAGAATTGTTTTGCATCGGAAATGGCAAAAATTTTTATACCATATTTATTCGGCTTGCTAGGAATATATTGTCTGAAACTACAATTTCCTCTAAAAGCTTCTAGTTTCTCATCTATGGTAACATAACCAGAATGAGAATAGCATTTTTTAATGTTGCTGTTAAATTTTTCTAACAATGTTCGTATTGGAGCCAGTTTATGTACCTGTATTCTTTCATGTCTCGTGTGAATGTTATCAAATCGCAGACATTGCAAAAGAAATTGAAATCGAGGCTTACTCATTACAAGTCGAAAAGTTTCAATGCCAGTGCCATCTGTTCTCCAGAGATCCTCTAAATTCATGTGATTTGCTTTTCTAATACCAGCAAGATAAAGGAGACCAATTAGGGCTTTGATTTCGACAATGTCGGTAGGTTTCGCATCTCTTTGTCTACTGTAGTCATCTGTAACACTCTGAATTTTTATATTTGTACAGTCAACAACTAGATTTAGCATTTCTTCATCAAAAATGCAATTCCAGATGTCAATAGGTGTTGAGTGAGTTTTAACAAATTGTTTTATAGCTGGCAATCGTACAAATATATTGGTACTGCGTGTTCTTACATTCTTCGATGGACAATGTTTTTTCCACTTTGTTAATTTATCTTTACCCATAAAGTACGGCTCCCTTCTGAAACTAACATTTTCTTCCTCTGTTTGATCGGCTTCAAATTCCTGTTCAGTATCACTACATTCAGATCGTTCTTCTACATGGTCAATTTCATTTTGTTGATCATCATCTTCATACGTTTCCTCGTCAGTCGATACTTCCTCAAATAATTTTAATAATCTCTTTTTCTCCTTCTCGTAATCCTTATTCATATATCTATAAATATACAAATATATAAACATTGAAAATAATAAAAAGAACTTAAATCACCTTGCAGAGTAAAACTTTCAATGTCTGATCCAAAGCACAAAAATGTGTCCACAATACTCGCACCCGGTGTACCGGACCGTGTTGCCTAATAATAAAATTATAATGCTCTTTTTTACACTACACACAGACTTCAACGATAAGTGACCGACGACTGAAGAGGTACACGAAGCCAGGGTTGCCAGATGATTTTTTTTTAATTCCCTAGAATGTTTGCCAAAATTTCCCTAGATTTCCCTAACAACTTGACAACCATATTTAGCCTAGAATGGACCACCTAAGTCTGACGTCAGAATGAGCGGGATTTTTAAAAACCTTTCCAAACATTTCTAATTTGAGTTTATTGGTCACATAAGAAGTTGGAAATATTGGTATTTTAATTGTTTGTAGAATAAATAAGGACTTTTGGTTATGAACATTCATTCTGTGCGATTGGTATTATTTGTTGTTCGTGAATTTGTGAGGTAAGAATCCTCCTTAATCTTTTCTCCTTCGTAAGGATATAGTGGCGTCATGTAATTTTTTTTAAATATTTTTGTCCAATTATCTCTTTCCTGTGCGTGTTGTTTTGCTTCGGAGAATGAATAACCAGTCATCTCTTTTATTTGGTCCGACCATCGTACTGGAGATCTTCCTCTGGATCTTTTACCCGCTACGTTACCTTCAACTATCATTTGCTCTATGCCTTCTCTTCTTCTAGTTATATGTCTCAGTATATTTGGGTTGATAGTTGTGATGAGTCTAATTTTATGTTAAGTTCTGCTAGAATTGAGTTATTTGTGCGATAAGCGGTCCATGGTATGCGCAACATTCTACAGTAGACCCACATTTCAAATGCCATTATACGCTTTGAATCAGCTTTTTTTATTGTCCAAGTTTCTAAAGCATAGGTGGCGATAGGAAATATCAATGCTCGAACAAGGCGTAATTTTGTATTTTTTGTGATGCCAGTGTTCTTCCAAATTTTTGAGAGTTTAGCTGTTGCCGATCTGGCCATTGTGATGCGTCGACGGATCTCGTCTTCGCATCCTCCACTGTTAGTAATAAAGAAGCCTAAGTAATTAAATTGCCTGACTACTTCGTATCAACCTGCCATGTTTTTTATCTCTGCTTGGTTGTTTCTGATTCTATCGATGATCATCGTATTTTCAAACTATATTCCGTACTCACTGTGCCTAGCCTATTCATAATTTGTTCCAGTTCTTCTCGTGATGACGCCAATATAACAGTGTCATCAGCATAACGCAGGTTTTTAATTTTTCTTCCTCCTATCGTTGCTTCACCTTACCTTGCCACTTTCCTCAACAACTTGACGCATATGTTCACTATACACATTGAATAGGATAGGGCATATTATGCATCCCTGTCGAACTCCAGATTTTAATTTGATATTTTTCGAAATTACATTATTAACTCTTACATTAGCAGGTATTATTTACCTATAGTTTTTGTAATAAATAGATTAGATGTTCTGCAGTACTCATTTCACTAAGTGTATGCCACATATTATTACATTTTACGGTATCGAAGGCTTTGGAATAGTCAACAAAGCACTCTCGAGAATTTTTGATAATTTGACGAATATTAAGAATATGTTCTCTTGTTTCTCTACCTGGGACGAATCCGCATTGTTCTTGGGGAATTTGTGGTAAGAGAATTAATTTTAGTCTTTCATTAATGATGGTTAGAAGTACTTTGCTCGCGTGTGATATCAATGCTACTGTACGGTAATTACTGCAATCAGCTGTCGGTAAACCTTTTTTTATATATGGGAATAAACGCAAGTTTACCCCAGTCATTTGTCCACTTTCCGGTATTCCAAATCTCATTGCAAATTCTAAGCATTACTTCCGTCCCTAATTCTCCCATTTCTTTGAGTGTTTCAGCTGTTATTCCATCTTCTCTTTCTGCTTTTCTGGATTTTAGCTTTTTAATTGAACCTCAATTTATGATTTCAATATTTGAGGTTCTTTTTCATAACTTTTTTTCTCTGTATTATTGTCTTGGTCGTTGTTAGAAAATAGTATTTCGCAATATTGTTTCCACACCTCTGCGAGGCCGTCTGGGTTTTTTATGATATTTCCACTATTATCTTTGATGACCTATGTTTGCGGTTTGAATTCTCTCGCTAGATACTTGACTTTTGAGAAAAGTTCTCTAGGTTCTTGGCGTTCAGCATGTTCCTCTAGTTGTACACATATGTTTTTAGTATAATTATTTTTGCCCCTTCTGCACAAGTGTTTTATAGTTGTATTTATGGTAAGAAGGGTAAGAATATCAAAGTATTATTAAGATATTTTAGTCCAGGTGGATCCCTGACGTAATTCGCCTTTGTGAAATACCACCACTCTAGTCATCGACGGGGAATCACATAAACAGTTAGAGAAAGACAAACTAGAAACCAAAAATCGCCCGATGGGCGACGCCAATACATACTTTAGCCCAGGTAGATCCCCGACATAATTCGCAGTTCGTGAAATTTCACCACTCTAGTTTCCGACGGGAAATCACATAAACAGAATTTAGTGATTCCACGAATAGTATGATTTCCAAGTAGATGATATAATATGTGCAATTTTGGAAAGTTTATTAAATAAAACTGATTTTTTAAAATATTCTTACAAATATTAAGAATTCCCTAGATTTTCCATAGAATTGAATAAAAATCCCTTTTTCCCTAAGCTGGCTCAAAATTCCCTAGGTATAGGGAAAATTCCCTAGGTCTGGTAACGCTGCATGAAGCAGCAATTCCAAATCCCCACTACAATCAGAGTTACTTGAAATTATTTACAGGGCCGGTCTCATACACCGTGCGCGAGTAACGGAAGGTTAAGTAAAGTCATCAATCGCATGAAGTAATGACATCGAGTAGCAGTTAAGAAGAATTCGTCATTGCATGAGCGGTAGCTGAAGAAGCAGAACATAATTAATCAATCAGTTTGTAACGTTCCACGCCCTCTTCTGATTTCCAGTCTCATTTATCTCGGTCGTTCTAAACGTTTTCTTCAACTTCCCTCTCCCTTAAGTCTTTATCGATTCCTTCTCTCCAACTTAATCTCGGTCTACCTTGCTTTCTTCTTCGATACGGTGTCCAGTTTAATACTTTCTTTTTTATTTTGTGTTCATTCATTCTTTGGACGTGGACATACGATTTTAGTTGATTTATTCTGATGTCCTCTGTTTAATTGCCTAATGGCTTGTCTTCCCTGGTTATTTATATGTTTATTTCTTCGTCTAATTTGCCATTGTTGGTTATTTGCATAACTAAATGTTTATATTTTCGGCTTTCTTGATATTTACTTCTAGCCCCCATAGTCGTATTCTTCGATAAGTTTACGTGTCATATATTCGAGGTCTTAATAGTCTTGGGCCATCACTATCTGGTCGATTGCAAAACTCAATGTGTACAATATTGCGACGTTTATAAGAATTCCCATGTTTCTGTATTTTCTTTTCCACGTCTTCATCGCTTGCTCCGAGTAGATCTTAAACAAAGTAGGAGACACGCAGCATCCGTGTTTGAGTCCTTTGCTGATAGTGAAACCCTTCTATACCTCCTGACCTTTACCTTAAAATTATATCAATATTTTGATTAAGTATGAATGTTTTGAGTTCTTTAGCCGTTGATAAAGGCCATTTGCGTTCCAGACTACTATTTTATATTTTGGTTGTGAAGCCATTAAGAGATCTTATTAATGACAGTAGTAAGCAAATTGAGCATTGTGTCCATTTGCTCCATGAGTTTTTGCATCATTTCTTCCAGCTTGGCTAAGTTGGTATTAGGTTGGTTAGGTCCTGGTATTGCTTGGTTGTTATAGCTACACTGTGGTTGATTTTTGTTGACTATTTGAGCATAGGTTAAATCAGGTTGTATTTGTTGAGAATTATTTGTTTGAATAGGTAGTTGCATGATTATTTTCTCTCTTAGTGTAGGATATAGCTTCTGCTGTAGTTGAATGTGAACTTGGCATCCTCTATAGTTAGCAGGGTGGTCACCGTTACAATTGACACATTTTACTTTGTCATCACGTGATTTTCGAGGACAATCTTTTGTTTCGTGATTACCTGTACATTTTACGCATCTGTGTACTTTGCGGCAGTAGGTTCTAGTGTGTCCGTAGTCTTGGCATCTTGTACACTGGGGGATTGTTCTCTTCGTACGAGGAGGTTCGCATTTGATGATATTGTTTCCTAATTTTTCTCTTTTATAAACTGCTTTGTTGTTTTCCTTCGATACGATATCAATGAAAAACATTGGCAACGGGGTTTTTGATACATAATGTTTTATATTGTGAATGTTCACTGCTTCGTGTCCTTGTGCTGCTTGATTTGCCTTTATGTCATCAGTATCTGTACCATGATGCAGTCCTTTTATGACAAACCTGAATGTTTTTTCGCTTTTTGGCCTAAGAGTGTGGTATTGCGTATACCTTTTATCAAGTTCAGTGATCAGTGTTTTAAATTGTTCGGCCTCCAGGACTTGAACATTTATTGTTTTATAACTAATGGTTTTAATCGTGTATTTATCTCCTGTGGTTTGCTCAAGTAGGTCATGAATATGTTGCGACAACACCTACATTATAGATGGTTATCGGTGGGGGCTTGGATACATCTTTTGTATTGTTTTTTTTTTTATTATTTGCTTCGTCTTTGCTTTCTTCATTTTCTTCTGTGAGTATACTATAAGAGTTTTTTGTTTCTAGTGGCTTTTGCAGTAAATAATCACTTAATTTTGTTTGTTTTCTGGATATTTCCACTTCGAGACTTCTTATTCTTTTTTTATTTGTTACTGTCTCCCGTTTATCTTCAGATTCAGAGTTAGGAGCTGTTTGTTCATTCGTTTGTTGGACTACCTATGGATTTTGATATACTAAGTGAGGGGGAAGATGTAAAGGATTTGGTAGTGAAAAATATTGTGGGAGAATTGGCTGCATTTGAGTAGATGAGCCTGTTGATTTTGATCATGGTAACCCGATTGAGGCTGTGACATTGACGTAGGAAAAAATATTGTTGATAAATATTGTTATTTACCTGATATCCGTATTGATGAGTTGGTACACCATTTCATTTGATATCCCTTTTTAATTCCACTCCTCTGATATGAATTTTTGAATATTTTCTTATCACTAATTGCCTTCTGATAACTATTTATCGATTCCAAAACACTTATTTACTGTTAAAATGTAATTAAAAGTGAAAACTGATTTTGTTTATGAGAACAAGTTTACAGAGACGTTCAAATAACTGATATTAGAACATGTAGGTAATTAAAATCAAATTTAAATACTCACATTTTGTACACAAATCAACTCAATATATGCATTGAAAATTTGTGATGCCTATTAAGTAACCATATATTCGTTACTTCTAGGAAATCTTGAAACCCGTGTTTGCCAGTGACGACGATGAAGCCAAAAAGACGGCTCAGATTACTCTATACAGAGCGTTAGAAATAGGTCTACGTCTTCTATCGCCTTTCATGCCGTTTATCACTGAAGAATTGTACCAGAGACTGCCCAGGCCGAAGGAGGTTACTCAGAAAGTCCCTAGTATATGTGTAGCTTCCTATCCGAGCGAAAAGGAGTACTACAGGTGGAAAAACGAAGATATCGAAGACGAAGTGGACTTTGTACAGCGTGTGGTGAAGAGCATTAGGTCCACCAGGGGTGATTATAATCTTCAAAATAAAACAAAAACTGAAGGTAAAATAATTTATGCATATTCTTTATTGTTTTAACATTTTTAAACATTTGCCGCTCAACATTAAAATGTGAAAAATTGATAACATTATTATTAGAGCCTTGAAAACTAAAACGTAGTTAAAAGCCTCATTTACACCAAAATATCTGATCTGATTTTAATTTTTTGTCTATGATTATTTTTCCAGTCATAAGTATCACAATTTTTTTTCATTTAAATTTTACGATTTTTTAACCGTTGATCTGTGTACGCGATAAAGAAAACATTTTACTAATCTTATTTATTTTTTACAGTATATATTCAGTGTAACGACGAAATGACAGCCGAAATCATACTCAACTACGAATCTGCTCTTCAAACTTTGGCGTACTGTTCGAAATCACCGGTAAACGAAACTGCGCCACCTGGTTGTACCATAATAACCGTTTCCGATAAGTGCGAAGTCAATTTACTATTAAAAGGTCTCATCGAGCCGTCTAAGGAAATATCTAAGATCCAGAAAAAATTAGACTTCCTACAGACGACGAGAGAACGGCTAAATAAAACCATGGAAGCTCCCGATTACGAATCGAAGGTGCCAGTAGACGTGAGACACTCCAACGAAGACAAACTTAACCAGACGAGCGCAGAAATTAGCCGGCTAGAGGCGGCGCTCAGTTCGCTGAGATTAATGTAAAGTTTTTTATACCGTTTTATATGAAGCTTGTTAATGTTTTAATTTATTTCTAGCATAATGAACAATCGTGCACAAAGAATACTGTATTTTCTTTAAACCACTATAGTACAGGCCAAAAATGAATTATTTTGTACAAATAATCTGTATTAAACACTTAAAATGCATTGTAACACTGCATGTACACTTGAGACCTGCAGCTTCACCCGTACGTCAATGCTTAAGGCATACAAAATGAGCTTCAAATAACAATGTGCTGGTAGTCTTAGTGTTAACAAGAGTTAATTGTCACGAACTGTAATAATAAGTGTTGTATGTACATTTTTTGTCGAAGCATTTGTCTTTAACGCTAAAATATAGCTCATTACTGCATCAGTAATCGCTAAGAGCTAGATTTGAGGCATACGGTCATTGTCTTGTTGAAAATACTTTTTCTGTTTCATCTGTTATCGTTTTTTTTTTGCAATTTTCTCGAGCTAATATTGGATGGGCAAAGTGGGACGATACAACGACCGGCCGGTCACTGATCTGATGAACAGCAGCGCGCACGTGGTTAAAAGGGGTGGTAAAAACGAAAGGTCGAAAATTTATGGGAAAATCTTACCCTGACATCTGAATCATGATACCGTGGATCCATTTTCTCAATGCATGATTTGCTTTGAAATATTAGCGTAAAAAAGTATGCTTAAGGATGCCAGAGCAGGCAAGCATCGTACCCTTGGAGAATATTTAGTCTCACTATCGATTAAAGATGCTGTAGGAGCGTCATTTGGAGAAAAAGATCTAAACAAAATTGAGCACATAGCACTTTCCAATAATATTGTTTCAGTAAGAATTGACAAGACGACTGAATGAGAGAAAATAAATTAATATGAAGTACTGTTTTTGTGCTTTATATACGGCCAGAGGCATGAAAATATATGGTTCTGCAAATAAATTAGTCGTGCGTATACTGGGGAAAGTTTCAATGTAATGTCCCACTGACGAAGCTCGAGGTTATGGACACATTGTAGTCTTCATAGATAAGCAAGATTTAAAAGCGTAATCTGGCGATATCAAGACTGGACTATGCCTATATACTGCAGTAAAAGTTGTAAATGGTATTAAAACAAGAACAGTTTTTCTTCATGACAACAATAAGTGGTTTGGGAACTACTACTCTAGGTAATCGACGAAGGAAATATCTAGCATATTCCAAAATTTGGATGCTAAAACCTTTCTAGTTGGCATTGGCGTCTTTGTTTGCTTTGACTTTAGCTTTTTACTCACTTCGAAAGCATGTTTGTTAAATGTTGACATAAATCTCCTATTTATTCGGGTGGCATCGGGCTTCTGCTGCTGATTTTCCATGTTTTTGTACTTTTTTAATTTATTTGATAACTTAACAATACCAAACATAATCCAGGTCGGTTCGAGCCAACGTCGTGTACTACATTTGTAGATGTCAGCGATGGCTTAATAATTATCTTTTTTGTCTAGTTACATTTCGCTTTTAACCCTCTACTGCATGACTTATGTTTTAGATAGAAAGAAAGAAGTATATTTACCAAAGAATTTATAACAATTTTCTACTAATTAAGAAAATAAGCCATAAGCCATATATGGCTTATTTTATGGCTCCTATGCAATAAACCTAAAATGTACAAAAATAGACAAGTCCAAATAAGGCTTTTTATTCACTTAAACTAGTTATTGTTTTTAGGAGTGAAATTATACGAAACATCTAACAAAAAAAAAACTTGTATCGGTCCACTGGAGAAAGTGGCCAATGGCGTCTATACGAACTTCATTGCTTGTTTAATCTTGACGCAAAGTAAGCCGCTTTTTGGATTAGAGAGTTTCTACTCAGTTATGGAACTGCTTGGTGAATTAACATTTGATAATGGTCGACCCCTTTTCTTTGGCAAACTATTCTTGCCCACCTTGCATAAATTTTCTGCAATATATTGTTTGAAGTCAAATAATGGCATATAATTTACACTCTTTTGGCGCCACAGTCCAATGCACATGTCCAACAGGTGAAAAAATATTTTCTTATGCTATTTTTTGAACGTAACTGAATCCTATAGAGTCCTAGCATGGAATCCAATAGTGTTCACATATTTAGAACTGCGATAAAGCCTTTGGGGATCCATTTCTGCAAACAAATAATGTCTACATAAATTACTCTTCAAATGCATACAAAGCCATATATGGCTTCGACAAAATCTGTATATTTTTTACGATAATGCATAAGAAGCTATATATGGATGATCACTAAATGTCGTTTTCTCTGACAAACCCAAGTAAATAATCACTAAATATCATCTAACTTATAAAGAACAAACACCAATTAGACATGAAATAATAAAAAAAATTATTACTTACTTGTAAAACGCCGATGTTTGAAGATAAATTTTTCACTTGTTCTAAAAAATCGCAATGCACAGCACGTTGTAACTAAAATGATTGGGTTGACTTGTCTAGCAGAGTTGCCAGATTTTAAAAATATATAGAGGTGTCCAAACAAATGTACGGTTCACGTTATGCTATGCCTGCGTATGTGCTGAACTTTAAACTTACAAAAAAAATAGTAAACTACCGAATCCATTTATGGATTTCCATGCGGTAGAGGATTAATACACCAATTGTGTTATTTACACAAAGTCGCATATCTGTAAATATACACTATATTATATACAGTTCCACTTTCACGTTTAATAATATCTTTTCCTAATATCACATCTTGGCATTGAACTAAATTCAAATCGAAAACATGTAAGATCGAATTTAACTTGAATCTCTAAATTCTCTGTGTGTCCTGCGTCACCAACGCTGTGCATCGCTTAAAGCATACGCAATGTGTCAAGCTCGAATGTGTTGGCTGCCGCAGTGTTACGATAGTGGAATGTCACGAACTATTCTAAAAAGTGTAAAGCTTTTAATTAGTGTACGCAAAAAGTTGTAGCTTCCTCTTCTATGTACCTACGATGTTAACGTTCAGAATAACATAATTTTATTTTCACATGCGAGATACATTGATGCATTCTTTGTGCAATTTTGTTCAAACAATAACATAATTATACTATATGTTCACTCGTGGCTATATAACTGATATTTTGTCAAAATTATAATGTTTAAAATTGCTGCAGGCAGCAATAGTTTAGTAATTCAACGTGTTGAGTTATACAGCCATGTTTTAATAATATATAAGTTGCTGTAGTAGGATGACATCCGCGTTCACTGAAACCACTTTTCAATTTTTATACTAAATAATAGTCCCAGTATTTTACCCATACCAAAAATGTATCATTTCATAACTGACACAATGCTGAAATAAATATTTATACACAGTAGTTGTTTTATTTTGGACAGGCATTATTTGAGGGGGTTAGCAACCAACGACGTCCTTCTAGCTTCGTATAATTTGGATAGCTTGATCAGTTCAGCCACAATAATGTATTTATTTGCAAATCTTAAAAATTCGAAAAACGATTATCTATTTGCGTAATAATAATATTAAAAACTTCAATATATACTCGTTAATCAAAACGTCACTCCGTATATTGGAAATTACTATCATTACGAAAATCTCTGAAATTTTGCACCACCTTTGTTATTCTATTTTTTGGAATAAATAATGTTGGTTGACTCATTTTGAACAACATGGAAAATCGGTTTGTATAAATACTTTCTTAAAAATATTTTAATAAATATTAAAAGAGTAATCATTTAATAAAGTTTTCAAACTGATTGCTTCACGTATAGAGATATTAACCGAGATTTAAAATTCCATCGCGTCTGTCAAACTGTTGGTATTTAACCGTTTTTAAATAAAACGATCGGTTCTTAATTTATATAAATATATTTATTTATAAGTTTACAGCACAAAAATATCTTATCAACCAAAAACCTCATCATCGTTACTTATATATACTAAATGACATAGAAATCCGAACACCCAGTTTAAATGATTTTATTTTAATACAATTTTGTATAAATACTTAATGAAGCATAATAAGTAAATGATTAAAATTTCAAAATGATTGCATTGCTTTAAAGCCCTTTTACCTTTAATAATGTGTGGATGTACCCCGATGTGTTATGCATTCTCCAACGCACCTAAGCATGCTTCTGATCAGGTGGTCAATGTCCTCTTGTGGTATCTCATTCCAGGCAACCACCAACTCCTCTCGAAGTGCTTGTAGAATCTGAGGAGGACGTTGCAAATTGAGCAATCTCCTATCCATCATATCCCACACCTACTCAATTGGAGATTTATTTTTATTTAGCGTATGGCTACATCACAGGTTCATATAAATACAGTCAAAATCGTTTATAACGAACTTCAGGGGACTGGTGCTTTTTGTACGTTGTAGCCAGTGTTCTCTGTAAGCAGTTCTATCGGTTATAATGAACAGGTTGCTATAAACGATATTACACTAATAGGGACAGTTAGTTCGTTGTACCTAGGGTTATGACGCAAAAATGTGTTACTTTAACTATACTTATAATATGTTATAATAACATATACATAACATTTAACATATGTGTTTATTGTACTTAAGCAAATCTAAATATGTACATACATATATGTATAATATGTATTGAAATAAGTATAAGTAGTGAATAAAGTATACACATAATATAACGGCTTCTCCAAATCTTCGTATTATAAAAATGTAGGCATACATATACTATTTATTTTAAAAAGACAAAAAAAAATACATACATTTACCTATGTATTACAAATGTAAACACATTTTACCTGAATATTTAATGAAAAAAGTCTGTAATTTTTGTTTGTCGCCTTCCTTGAACTTCTGAAAAAAAAACATTTTTTCAATTGATGTGGAAACAATCGATAATGATTCTTTTACACTCTGGGAAGTTTCAGCAGTCTGAATAAATGCTCGTATGGTGGAACAAGCAGCATACGCTTCAGCAACAGTAGGGATTTTGCCGAAATCTTCCAATTCTTCATCAGCCTCATCAGTACTTTGTTTGTCACTAGTTTGGTGACTCAGTACGATGTCAATATCTGAGAGTTCTTCGCTCGTACTTATTTCGTCATCCACTCGTACATAGTCATCTGCAGAGCAGTCAGAACTGAAAAGGGAAATGGCATCCTGCAAATGCGTTTGTGCAATATCGTTGTATGCGATTCCTGATGGTTGTAAGTCTTTAGTTAGGCCGGAAAAACGAAAACAGTTGATGATCGTTTCCT